GTTTGATTTTTAAGCCCAAAACATTTAGGCCAGACCAACATAGCTACTGAATAACATCATACTAACAGTTACACATCAGTGAAGGATGGTCTCACCTTGTGTCGCTTACGTCTTGGGTTGATGGGAGCCTAAATCAGGGAGACAAAGACAGCAGCATCGAACAGATGTTTAAAGAAGCTTCTAGGGTATTAAAGAGTTTACGGCCTTAGAGAAGCAGTCCTCATCTGGAACGAGTTTTCTCGCCGTTTTATTTTGGTATCGACTGTGAATACAAACCTTCTTTTTCTGTGTGTTGTCAGTCGCTAAGAATATGGTGGGAACTGCATCTTCTCGAAGTGTCACGCTTTTGCCTGTTCTGTCGATGTACTGTTCTTCAAAATGATTGATGCACAGCACAGAGAAGCGAGTGGGAGCCCAGTCTTTCCACTTCATGTTGATGAGCCATTTCTTCAGTTTTCTGGGATTGTACAGGGGAAACCTGCAGCAACACATAACTCATTGAAAAAGTCCTGATGATGTGTACAGTTCTCTCCTATGTGAAGCAAATACAACACTGAAAATAAATTAAAAGTATGGAAAATTTTGACTATTTCTAAAAATTGTACGGCTTCCTCCAGAGTCAGAAATATTTAGCACAATGTCACACACCATATGCTGGACTCAAATGAGGTATGAGAGGAAATTTTAACAATTCATGTAACACAACTTGATTACTGTTTGTGTGCTTCACTGTGATATTCTCTCATGTATCCCATCATTCAACTGTAATAAACACTCTGGCATGAAATCAAACTGTCAAAAACTTTGCTAAGTGATGCTTTGCAAGTTCAATCTGGGCTCAAGTACTCTTCTGTGAGGAGGTATACTATACTTCACTGCCTTAACCATCAATTTCTCATTTATTTTGTCCTTTTTATAGTGCCTACTTAGTTGTTGTCTCTTGGTAGTCTCAAAAGCTGCAATTTCTGCATGCAGAAAAAGACTGCGATATTTATTTATCCTGAAAAAAATATTTCATCCTGTGTCTTCTCTTAGTCGTTCGGATGAAACGCTAAGACGAGCTGGAACAATTTACAGACACTAATATCAGGCTGATGCAGTTCATGTTGATACTTTTGTTTGCTAGCTTAACTCTTCTGCTAGCTAGTTAGTTGGCTTAGTGTAACAAAAATACCACTAATATGTCACACTTACTTAAAAAACTTAACATCCGAATTGCTCGAGTGATCGCAGTTGTAGGCACATTGGTATCTTCCCATTTATTACACAATCGCGGCTAATTCGCGATGAAACAAATTGATATTGTTGCTAAAGCTAAAGTTGCTTTACAGACGAGGTCAAGTTAGCAATGATACAACCAATCCATATCCGATTGGGATTTTCAAAATAGTAGCCGTATGACGTGTTTAATCTGAAATGAAAAATTGAAAGCACAACTTATTCATATTGCATTTGGCAGTGTATTTTTGCTTGTTTTATACTGAATTATTTAGCATCATTTATTACTTCACCTAATAAATTGACTAGAACGTATACTCAGTTTCCCGTTTTATCCTATGAATTTATCGTAGAATGTCGCTAGCTTGACTGAACTGTTTCAGCAGCGGATGTTGTGGATGGTTGTTCTTCTTCTTCGTGGCGTCTAAATTGGTTATGAAAGTTCAACACTGCCTCCCAAATAGAGGGTGACGTCTATTAATTTTTATGTCAAATTTGTACGCAACTAAACTGAAAGTTTTATTTATTTATTTATTTAACAGTAAAGAAGCTTTTTAAAAAAACATTTACATTTCACATTTTTAACAACCTTTCAACACACACATGAAAAGGTTCGGTATTTTATATATTGTACTGGGTAGGTTCTCAAAAATATTTATAACAAAATGTTTTATTATTGCTGAGAACCTTTCCTCTTTGTTTCAGCTTAATTTGTTTATTTTGTGGCATTTTTTCCTTGTGATTGCTGGTTCATCTACATATGCAACTTTGTAAGTCCATGATTGTTTTTAAAGAATGTGGTCATAGGCCCTTGTGGGTTTTAAACATTGATTTTACTCACTCTGTGTAAACTATTTTTGGACATGTTTCTGATTTGTACTTTTTCCATGTTATCGGTGGGAAGATGTTTCATACCTCTCTGTGGTATGTAGTCTGTGGTCACTGATTACAGAGTTACAGCCACTCCTATTTAAAATAACTACCGTTTTTCTAAAACCGTTTGCCTGTTGAATGTGAAGCACTGAAGCGTCACACATATTTTTGCAAGTTAGACTGTGTGCAGGAGACTTTATTAAAACTATTTGATCACCTTTCAACAAAATCCAATTTTTCCTGTACAAATATAGATGATCTTTCCCGACGTTAGTCATACCGATTAAAATTTCATGAAAGAATGACTCATATATGACACACTTAAAAAATCTCATTGTTTAATAGTCCTTAAACAAAGTAAGACATAAACAAAGAGAAGCAGTTGCTCAGCTGGTTTTGGTTTTCCACTCCACTCTCCACTCATCCCAGTCCAGGAGAGTTCTCTTTGTGTCCCATCCTGCAGCTTCAACACCTGCAGATCATATGAGCAGAATCATGTTTCTACTGACGGAAATACATGCGATACAGGTGATGGTTTATAGGTTAAAACTGTTTCATGTGAAAGCTAACCTTTGAGAAATGGATTGAAAATTGTGTCCATCAGCTTCTGACTCTCGTGCACCAGTTCCCAGTGATCTTATAAATAAAAAATAAAAAAAGAGGAAGAATTGTGTGTAAAGTGTAACAGTTAAAAAGCATTTGAATAGAAATGAAAGGAGGTAAAGGCTCACTTTGCTGTTGTGGTGAAGTACATGTCGACTCTTTGGGTGTTTTAGGGCTCAACGTGCTGCTGAGCCACACAGCTTGGCACATCGCTCTGATTTCATCATGCACTGACGCTTCTGGTCCCAAACAAACGCATACGCAGCCTTCAAGGAGGACAGCAGGGTTAAAAAAGAAAACCCTTAAAATATGTTACCTGGCTCTTAAACAATCAGCTGCTCTTTAGAGGAAGATGGCATACCATTTCTGATTCCTACAAGGTAAGGCCTGTTGTTTCCCTTCGAAGCCAAACTGAGTTCATCTGGGCTGCAGAAGAAGCACTTACATGAAAATGTGTTTAACGTTAAATGTGTGACAGCAAAAATCATCAATTAAATTACCTCTGTACAACCTCCTGCAGCCTCACGCCGAGTTTGATTGGCACAGCTTTCCCAAACTCTAGGAAAAAAAACAGAAGACAAAACAATAATTTATGCACAGACTCAACACATTTGTTTGTTAGAGTCACTACAACAGCTGCCTTGAAAAGTCAACAAATAGAATGTTTTTTTTACCCAAAAATACCGGTTCTCGCTGATTGGCCTCTAGCGGATTCAAGACTCGTTTGTCTCTGAGGTACTGCTGCAACACAATCGAAAGTCGCGCCTCGTTGAAGGTTTCCATGACAACTGAACGCACGGCTTTGTAGTTGGCAAAAAGATGAAGGATGGTGAAGAGGAAGAAGAGGCTGAGAGTCAGTCTGAGAAGCACAAAAAAAGAGAATGAAGATGAAAAAAAAAACAGAAAAAAACAAAAAAACAACACAACTCAAAAAAAGGAAATTTCCACCCAAACATTTGTCTTTCGTATTCTTATATTTCATATAGTGTGAAGGTAAATTTTAGCATGGCTTCATTAAACATACTAAAGTTATTGTACAAAACCCAGCTGACTCTGATGGGGTCAGGTGGGAACCATCTGTATCAGTCCTGAAAAAACCACATCAATCAATCCCTGAAAAAAAGGCTTGATTTTGTATGATCATTTACATATATTAGATACAGCAACACTTACACTGGATTATCAGTGACGAGGGGAATGAGGATCAAACTGACCAGCAGTCCAGCCAAATTTACTAAAGTCTCCTGTAGGAAATAAAGTAGCATTAAGTAAGAACCATGTTTTGATGATTTTTGTAGATGTGTCACAACAGGCCTTGTCACTGAGACATTTTGACGTGTAACAGCAGAGGCCAATTGTACTTTAATGCAGAATGGCAAAACACTGTTGCACTGTTTTCGCCTTTATATTTACAGTTATTTTAAACAGGAGCAGTCATCTCAAGGACTGAGGTCTATGACACCACTTAACAGGTTCTGATAATGCAGTCTTGAGATCGCTGCTCAGACAATTTCACCACCATTAACACCTCGAGTCATCCCACTCCAGGCAGTTTCACAACTCATCACACCTCGAGGCATGTGCATCTGGCTCATTAACAAGCCATGAGTCATGTGATTTGAGGGTTACAATAAATACAGTTCAAATTACAACTGAGGAAGCGTCTTTAATGAGAAGTGAAATGTCTTCCAAGAATAAAAAAAAAAAAAGTCCAGTTGCTTTGTTGCTAAAGAATTTACGATTACTGATTTTCTGGATGACTGAGAATCCACACAGACATAAACACATGGATAGGAACATGAACCGAGCCTTGGTGCCACAGCTATGCATTACATCATCTGCAAAGCGTCTTCACTGTTCACACTGGTTTGCTTCAAGATAAACAGTCTGATAAAAAGTCCCAGTTACCTGACTGCCGTCTTTGGCAGAGATGTCAGCCATGTTGTCTCTGCGAGCCTGATGGACAGTCAGAGCAGCTCGAGTCGCACCGCCTGCCACTCCAACAATAGACTGGACAAACACATGCACCCGCCAAGTTCAGTTTGTGAAAGTCAAATTGTATGCAGCGAAATAGATTTATTACATTAAAAATGTTAAATTAGTTTCTTGTCTCTGTTTCTAATCAGAGTGTCATAGTCTGTAGTTTGACTCCAGATCTGTAGATTTGCTACCCACAATCTGTTCAGTGAAGAAAACTGTTGAATAAGGAATAAATAAATGATTTCAAGCCTTTACAGTTCAAAAGAGTGATTCTGAAATGCTTTGATTTTTGACCTTTTAAATCGGGATGGGCAGTTCAACCAAATAATGATTCTGTTCTTTGCAAGAACCTTTTTTTTTTTTTAATTCCTTAGGTGTGCACTTACTGAATAATTTCCAAGAACAAAGCATTCATAGATTAATGTAACTTTGTTCAGCATAAATATGTTTTTGGATTTTCAATACTCTTTACTGCAACTCTATGAAGGAGTCCTGATACCTATGTTTAAAAAAACACAACTTCAAGCCTCTGTTTCAGTCCTCAGATGTCTTTTTCATTGACTGGAATTATCGAACTAACAATCAGATCTCTGACAGGCTGAGCATTTCTAAACTCAAACTCCTGGGAATTAGTTACATTCTGACTATTTAGCTGCAGGAACAGAATAAATGAAGCATACGTTTTACATTTTTAATCAGGTGACTTAAGTTTCTTGTTTTTTGTTATTTGTTTTATTACCTTGAATATCCCTGCAGTGCAAACAATCAAGGTGAAGAAGGCAGGAAAATATGGAGCCAGTATTTCCATGAACATGGCAATGTCGTTGAGAACGTCAGCAAAGAGTCTGGTTGTGAATTAAAAGAAGGACATCAGCTGGATTCACTGTAACGGTTGGACTGACCAAGTCCTCCAGATTTGATGCATACCTCCATTTTTTGGCCTCAGAGTCCAGCTTGCTCCTGAAACAAGGACATAGGAACTGATGAAGTATTTGCACATTGGATTAAAGCTCCCACAAGCTTTATTAGACTGAAAATGCACAACTATGAGCCTACCCTTTCTGCCAGGCGAAGAGAATTCTTCCCAACATGCCAGTTCCATCTGCAGGGGAAATATTAGTTTGCAAGTTAGTCAAATCACAGCAGGGATGATACAGATCCTGCATGACTAATATCACTTCATGATATTTTTTTAAAGGTTCCACCTCTTAATAACCAGGTAACTGTGGCTGCAGCTACTGTCGCCTCCTGGTTTCCAACACCAACACCTTTGAGAGACGCTTGAGTCGCCAGAGTCCCTGAGAGGGAGCTGGAGAAAGCCTGAGCGAGAAGAGTGGGAGTGGAAGAATTATATGTATGATAATAACAGTAACTTGTTTTATACAGCACTTTCAAAATCAAGAGTTGTCCAAATGCTTTGACAGACAAAGCAAAAGCACGACACAAAGAGTGCAATATAACAACAAATAAAATAGGCAAAGCAAGAAGACAAGAGATGCAAAGACACATAAATATAAGACTTAATATGGCATTACTATTCAACACAAGTAAAATAATAAAAGCAATAAAAAAAAACTATTGCGGAACAGGAAAAAAAGAAACATCATCACACAAAAGTTCAAGAAAATTGGTTTTAAGAACTGATTTAAAAGAAGACAATGATTCTGTGAGTGAGGTCGGTTGTTCTAAAGCTGAAGAGTCCTGACGGCAAAATCACAAATATTTCTACATTTAAGCCTTTACTTTGGAACAGTCAGAAAGGCTCCAACACAGACTATGACTAATTTTTTCTTTCATTTTGAAGGAAGGTTTTGTGTCATGTCTTGTTGTATTGCACATCAGTCACTATGCAGCTCACTACCCATACTGTATGAGCATGTGACAAAAAAAAAGAAAGAAGAAATAAATGCATACTTAACCACAATGATTAAGTTCAAACCTAATTGTCAATGGTGAAGGCCTGCTGTGACATCTTTGTAAGAAACAAACAAAAAAAACAACAATAGGTGGTCTGATAATTATTTCCAGGGCTGTGTATCTGTGTGTTGTTGTGACGTTGGAGTGTTTGGTAATGATCCCAGTGGTTCTGATGTATCCTCTACTGTACCTGCACAGTATCCCAGAACTGGTACTGCAGGTAATCATTGCTGACACTCTCTGGGTAGCCTTGAGGCAGAAACACACTCTGAAACAAAACGTTCAACAGTCAGGATGATGACAGTGTGTGGACAGTAAATGTAGCTTCACACAATTACAGCAAAACCTTACTTTAAACACTCCAACAACAGAGTTTCCTCTTGATTCACCTTCACTCCCATCTCTTCTCCTCTCCATCACCCCATCCTTAGTTAAATACTTCCAGGACTCTGCACTGCCATATCTCTCTGTGGCCAAAACCACTCCTGGATCTTTCTCCATTTGCACTGTTCGGCGCGACAAGAATGCTCAAGTTAACGATATGAGAAGCTCAACGATGCTGCAGTCTGAATTCCGCTGCAAAATGTTCAATTAAAGCTCATTTTGAGGGAATAAAATGGGTTGTTTCTCACTGCAGACGTGTCATTCTTCTCTGTTGTGATTCTCTTTGCTGCGTTTCCGTGTTTGTTTTCCGCCTTGACAGTGTCCTGATTCCTCATTGGTGGATTCTAGCTGGAGGCGGAGCTTCTACAGACATGCGCACTTTAAATAACACTATGAGCGCCAAGGAAACACATCAAACCAAAAAATAAAAATATTAAAGAAACATTGTTATGATGATATATTATGGTTGTTTTTTTATGTTATCATCATAGAACTATTTTTTTTTTTTAAATTAAAATTTTGTAGACCAGCATGGACAGATTCATAGATGATCATTTCAACAAAAACAAATTAATAAATAAACAAGTACGGGTCCTCGGACCCTAAAAATATGAAGGCACTATAAAATATTTATTACAATGCTGTATTTTGTGTGACGTCTTCCTGTTTTAACTTGATCTTGCTTTTGTTTGGTTTTACTGTTTAACTTTCGGGTGTTGTGTTGCCTTCTGGGTATCCTGCTTTTTGTCTTGTCTGTCAAAGTATTTTGAAAACTCTCTTTAAAAGGTTTTAAACAATGATGATGATGATGATGATTATTATTATTATTATTATTTGTTAGAATTTTCCTCTTATCTTAAAAGTGTTTTGCTGTATGGATTGAACCTTCCCTCGGCAGGTTTGCATGCATGTATATTTTAATCATGATTTCATTATCAATGAAAAAAGTTCAGTAATACTGTTAGCCACAGTTTCTCTTTCTATGCCAAGTAATACCAATGCTAATGCAAAAACGAAAATCTCTTCCAGTTTTTTCAGATTTTCTATTTTTAATGTCTACCATACTTTACAAATAGTTTGAACAGAATTGAGGAGAGCTTTACTTTTATTTTCTGACAACAAGTTGTGCCTGCAGTTACAATCAGGTGCCATGTGAGAGAGGACAAAGACAACAATATAAAAACACACTACAGATATATCATATATATATAAAAAAAAATAAAAAATAATACAAATATTGAAGGCAGAATTTACCACAATACCCATTAATATAATTAATTATAAATGTAAACATATAAATATCAAAACATAGCATTATCTTATACATTGAGTTGGGTAAGAACAGATGCTGAAGTGTGGGATAACTCAGCATCTGTTCCTGTATTTGGACTTCATGCATGCTACTCTTTATGTGCACAATTGTATTATTTTACATTCTGGGAACAATGTCAACTTATTTCACTTTGTGCAAATTTGCATTCAATGAGGTTTTTTGCACATAACTATTGCTCTGTACATCCTGGTAATCATGCTTCTTATTGGTCCACATGTAAACTACACAGTTGTTTCATGACACATAATTTGAACTGTATTGTTGATACAGAACAGGTCCATTGCTAAAGGTGAGTGTGCAAATAAGGATGTTCCCACACCTCATTCTGGATGGTAGGAGATCAAAAAGATAAGCTGACATGAGCCGGGTTGTAAATGATTTTTGTAACTCTGTTTGATCATCAAGAACTGATGATGTCGTCAGTGTCAGGCAGTGTCAGTGTTTCAGAGAAACTGAAAGGAAGGGTTCCTTTCAGTTCCTTGTTGCTTACTTCTACTTAACAAATTCATACTTCTCCTGAACCCTGACTTCCCACTTAACTTCCCTTTATGCGCTTTAAAGTTGGAGAAAAAAAGGCACTCCACACTGTACAGGCTAATCAGACTTTGTGTGTCCCACCGTTCATTGAAGCTGCATATTATTCACTATATTTAGTTCAATCAAGTTCATACATTTTCGTATGAATGCACCATTATACAAAGCAAAATATTCAGCAATGCTTGTGCAGCACTTTCTACACACGTTTCATAAAAATTCTGCTGATTCTTGATATCAGTGCAATTTTTGTCATCTCAGCTTAATTTTAAAAAAACATGTGGATTAGAGCCTGTAGTTTATCATCACATGTGTCTGTACCAATGAACTCAATGGAAGAAGGTAAACACTTGTTTACAATTTTTACTGAAAACCCCAAGTTCATCAGTTTTCAAACCAGTGTCTTTTGTATTTGCAAAATCTGACTTACATCTTTCAGTGGTGCACCTTTAGCTCATCACCAAATTCTTGCTGTTTTGCTCTCGTCAGTGTTGCCGATTCTTGTCGGTGCATCTGAGGCAGTGCAGCTGACAGAGTCACTGAAATGTTTTGCTCCAACAGGTTTTATTTGGCTTTGAGCCACACTGCATGGAGGTGGAGCGAAAGGTTTCTTTGAACCCTCAGATGTCGACATAATCAGGATGGAAGTGACACAAGCTTTTTCAAAATCTTATAACGCTTTGTTAGATTGTATTGTTTGTTTGTTCGTCTTAGTCTTAGTTTGACCAGTCATAGCTCTTTGCTAAGATTTTTAAATGGTTTGAATCAGCGCTGGCAATTAAGAGATAACAACTCATTCAGTTTTGACATGAATCTGCAGGTTAAAGAAAATACGGTTCGCAAAAGCTTCTTAAGAAAATCAAATGGTGAAAATCAAATCTTTTCCCCTCTTACCATATGGTGTTTTTTTGTTATCTGTGTAGTACTTTCAATATAAATGAAATGGGACACAAAGTGCTTCACAGAACAGAAGGAATAAAAAGGACATAAAAAGGCAATAAAAACAATAAAAGTAATACCCCACCACCCTCTGAACATGATCTTATAACTGAAGAACTCAATAAAACTGCTACTGACATACTGAGGAAACACCGGCAGCAGGGTCAAGCTCATAAAAACCAATAAGACAACTATAAAAAGTTACAAAAGACTGAGAAAATACGCAAAAATGTATAAATAAAAGGAGAAATAACTAAACAAAATCCGTTTTTAAGTGAGTTTGCTCTTAAAAATATCAACACTCTGCTGCCCTCAGATCTTCAGGACAGATGTTCCAAAAATGTGGGCTGCAATAACAAAAGGAAAGGCAATGACAGTGTCGAATACACAGATTCAGACTTCGAGTGTTTCATACATAACAAACTTAAAGAAACAATGCTGTCAACTTGCAGGGTGGAACTTTCTGGATCATTATTCTTCTTCAGAGCTGGTGTGGCTGCATTACTCCAGTATTACAACTAATCACTGTGTAGCGCAATCTCTGAGCCGAGTTGTGAATGAGCTGGTGTGCTCGAGCTGCAGCCAGTGTGGAGAGGTAGGTGGGAAGAAGGGTTGGGGCTTCGTAGATTTGCATATTTTAAAGGAGGCAAAGGTGTAGAAACACATCAAAACCATTTTAATGCAGGAAGGAATTATTTTAATTGGGAAAAAAAACTTGTAAATATGTAAAAATAGTACACAGATATGAGTTTTTAGGGGTTTAATCAATGACCGGAGAGGAACTTTGAAGCTGAGATTAATTCACCTGACAGTATGAATAATAATCAGATGCAGAAATTAGGTCTGTTGAGCTAAAGCAATTGGATGAAAAGTCACAGCGGGTCCCTCCCATGCACATGTTCAGGTTGAGGGAAGCGCTGTCTGGGAGTGGGCGGCGTCAGCTCTGAAAGAAATTAGTCAAGGGGTGTCTTATCTGTGGGTCAGAGAGCAGAGGGATGGGAGGAGACCAGAAACATATTCATGGTAAGTGTTATAGTGATATAAGATGAAGTGATTGTTTCTGTTGTGATGACTGGAAGACAAAAGTGTGAGATCTGTGTTCTTGTTAAAGGTGAACTCAGACACCTTTAAAGTAACACAGTGGAGTCTGAGTCTGTTTCACCCCAAGGCGAGACAAGTGCTGACACACCTTCCCTCGCTCTGGAATGTGGAGCAGGAAAGTAATGAGGTAAAGGCTGTAATACGCCACAGTATGTCTCAGAGTGACTAACCAGGGAGAGAGGAAGTCTAACCTGCAAATAGGAGGAATAGAATATGAGAACAACTGTAACAGTGGGAGTTAACAAGTGTATGAGTGGGAGGCCGAGAGAGAAGCAAATGCTGCACAGTAAATGGGCGTGGAAGTTTCACAGAGAGTTTCACTCCAGGCTCTCCTTCCTGTCATTCAACAACTTATAAGGCACTGGGATTCCACAGATTCAGCAGCTGCTGTTTCAACACAGTCACAGAAGTGGTGTTTGGATGACCATGTGTGGGAATTTTTAACTGAAACTTTCAGGATTTTAAGGAGGACGCCTCAGATTGCGGCTGTCATTGGAATCTTCCTGAGGAGACAAGAAGAAAATACACCTGCTGACCACCTCATTGGGACTTTAATATCACTCTGATCACAGAGTGGACAAACTTTTGCTGAAGGAGTGAGCTCACATTGAGCTCTTTGAATTTGATCAGGTTTGTAATTTCATTTAAAGTTTGAAGAGGTTTTAATGGTGTCAAACTGATAACATGTTCACTCAAGTTGTAAATACTGTGTCTTGGATCATCAGGATTTACCTTATAGGCAATAACGTCATTAATCAATGAGCTCATATTAGCTGTAGTAAACCGCACTGTGACAATGCTCAATGATTCACAGGCCTGTGTAATATTACATACAGAGCTCAGGCTAACATTTTTGCCTTGAACACAGACTATGCTGCTATGCTTTTTGAACAACTCAGTGATCAGATAAGTTGCATTTCACGTTGACAACTTACCAGCCAGGCAGGAAGTCTGGACATTTTTAAAGTCTAATCATACAAGTTTTGCAGCTTTTTTTTTTTTGGAACACTGACACTGCTCCATGTTCCGCCATTAAAAAGGTACTTTCTGTTCATGGTGGAAATACCCAGACTTCCCATGCTCAGTACAGAGAAACAATATTCTTTCTGTGTATTTTAAAGAACATGTTTCAACTTGTAGGGGACATTACTAGAAAACTGCTCTGTCCAGTGCTGGAGGAAACACTTTTGAGAGCACAGTTTTCATTTTGTTGTGCATAAATCCAGTCAGAACCTGTATTGTCAGGGCAGTCATCAATAAGAAGTAACAGCATTTGTCACAAGGACAAGATCTGAGAACAACTGTCAACTTTGATATTCCCTTTGGGAAACTGTTGTCGCCTACGATATGAGGCGCATTATTTAGCCTTTTGACATGGCACACTCTACTATCAAGTTTATTCTCATCTGTGGTCATATAAATATGACTTTTTTTAAACAACTGCAACAATTATAATGAATCTGCCTGTCTGTAGTGCTGTTATTAATCATTTATTGTGTTCCTATTCAGTTGTAATTCCTAAACATGTTCTGTCAGGGCAGTCAGTAAAAGGAAGCAACAGTGTTTGCCACAAGGACAAGATCTAAGAACAATTTACATCCCTAATATTCCTCTTGAGCAAGTGTTGGCATCCAAGTTATACTCAGATAGGTGTGCTGTCTAAAGTCACTGGTGTCAACAACAACATTAACACAACAGTTTGCTTCAATCTTGAGTTATAACAACTTCAAATGAAATTATGTTAAACCAAAAAAACTACACAGAGTTTGGACAATCAGTCTTTGTAGCATAAATGCAAGTTTTAAGTTAATTATTCGCCAATAAATAGTTGTTCCAAGTAGTATTTTCATGTTATTCAAAGGGAATTTTTAAGTGTTGTGTACCTAATTATTATAAACACAAGGTTTTAAGTTGTCAGTTTTTTAAAAAGTTATGTTGCTCCAATGTTAAGTAGGTAGGGATGAAGATTTTTTCAAAGTAAAGAAAAACAAGTTATCAGGCCAAGTTACCTCAACCTGAATTTGGCTTTAAATGAACCAACACAGAAATCTGAGTTTGAATTACACACAATATTAAGTTGATGCAATATTATACCAACACAACAAGTTTTAAAAGTGCTTGAAACTGAAAAGGTTTATCTAAATCACTAAATTTAGATTTCTTTAATCTTGCAAACATGCATTTAATTAAGTGGTGTAGCTACTTGACACTCATTCTGTTACTGGAGTTTCTTCTCATATGTTGTCATTGGTTTTGCTTTTCCTTCTCCATTTTAACAAAGGAGAGACTGTCATGACACTGAGTATTTGTCATATCAGCATTCAGGTTATTATGTTTAGAATTAAAGCAGGAACATTAATAGCTTAGAGTAGATTATGTTCAATGACTTTGCACTGTTCTATCCGCACATTATTCTGAAAAGTGATGCACAAGCCACGAGTCACAAACCAAGACCACTCAATTAATTTTAATAGCCTAAACATTTACCTGAGCAGGGTTTGTCCTTACACAAAGGGTGAAACAGCTCCTTAAAACTCCCTTTATCTCAAAAACAAACAGTCCTATCAAGTCTAAACCATGACGAACAACTGCTCAGACTAGTGCTGTTGTGCTAAGTCAAAATTGGCTTTCAGAGGTTTGATGTAGCTCACCTGAACTTGCCCTCTGGGTCAACCTCTCTTACACTCAATGTCATATTTTGCAGAAATGTCAAACTCAACTCAGACACATGTAACAATGGAAGACGAAGAGCTCCCGCTGACTACTGTACCAGGAACAGGTGACGCAGAGAACAATGACACTTGCAATCAAGTAGTAATCAGCAGCACTGAGCAGGACACTGTTTCCTGCTGCAAAGAAAAACACTACAGGAAACTGGCCATCTGCAGCATCATCTGTGGGATCTCCTGCATCGGAATCAAAGCTCTGATATACTCTGTCAAGGTACTTTCTCTTTTCTTTTCTGCCCCAGATTTTGTTTTACATGTCAATGAAATGGTCACATTCCAAATACATGCTGAGTTCACACAGACAATGAGCTTATTGTGACAGACTTGGCTGGTCTGTGGTTCTTAATCAAACATTACCTGACACAAGTCCAGGCAAATTAGTTTTCTGTTTCTGAAGTTTTTTGAATGCAGCACTTCCCCTGTTAAAAGGAGAGGCTCACATTCTTTTCAAGTCACATTCACTTGTCCTAAAGTACACTTGCAGGGTTATTACACATTGTAATCATTGCACCTGCCCATACTGGCTGCAAAGAAACCTTTCCTAAAGTAATAAGTGAAAAGTTTAGTGTGAGGATCAGGGGATAAGATCAAAGGCTGTATACAGTCTAACATGATTAAAGTTCACCTGAGGTTAACGAGGCTGCAGCTTTTTAGATGAAAATTAACTTACCTTTCAAGTACAAAAATTCCTCTTTGTGCTTTAACAGACAGTTATATATTTGGCTGAGTTGCAGCAGAGAAAACAATAACACAAGTGTGAGTTTTTAGTATTGAAAAGACTGAACTTGCACGATGTGAACTTGACAGTCGCTTGACATTTGTTTACTGCAAACTGATAAAGCCCTGTATCAACTTGCTTTGTTGAAATGTATTATATATTTGAAGAGTTCATTTGCAAAAACAGATAACTCCATCTTCACAAACCTTCAGAAAACCTACTTTTCCATTGTCAACTTGAGACAATATCAATCAAACTTAAGTTATCTCTATTTTTGTCATGTCATTTCTACTCAATCAAATCCACTCAACTTCAGTTTGATTGATATTATCTCAAGCAAACAAAAAAAATACGTTTTCTGAAAACCTACAAAAATTGAGTTATCCATTCTTGCAAATGAACTCTTCAATTACGGTCTGGATTCTGCATTTTGTCTTCCCCTACTTGCATTAAAATAGCTTAAACATATGCAAAAATTATAAAAAGTAAAGTAAAAAAAAAAATGTAAATCATTGCACATCGAGACTTGTGAGTATTGTTTGGACACACACAAGCAAATGTGATTTTAAAAAAAATACAGATATAAGTACATTTTTAAAAGTTTCAAAACGTGCAGTTCTTGATTACCAGCTGTATAAAGACACACAACTGTTTTCTATGTTGTCATTTCTTATGTTTTATCATCACACTCCCACCTCTGTGCTTCACTGTCAGGACTATGCGTTTACTGTGTGAGTCCTCACGTTCATGTCAAACAGTCTGAGCCAAACAAATTTATCCTGAGTGCTCCCAACATTCATCAGGCTCAGTTTATTCTTCCAGTTTACTGCTAAAGAGTAAAGAAGTTGTTTTTTTGTTTCTTGGATGCCATCATAGAGGTTGATGGAATGTGTGGTCCTTCACACTGTCTGAGCTGTCACAGAAACTCTTGATGTCCACTGATAACCCTTGTGCCAAATCTGAAGCACTCTGTTTGTCACTTGTCTGTTTGTCAGAGCTAGAATGTGAAAGTCACGCACTGTCTGTGGTGTCATGTTTGAAAAACAACCACTGCAGCTCTGACTAGTGGTATGATGGCTTGTTCGATGCATCTTTATACCTGCAGCAACTGACATTTAGTTGCCCAGTCTTCTTGTATGCGTTTCCATCTTTGTGAATTCTCGCAATCAGGTGTTTCCATTCCTCTGGCAATTCTTTTCCATGTGGAGTCATGATAAAGTTAATCACAGCCCATATGGCCAAAACTGAGATAGTTCTGGTGTTTACAGTTTGTTTTTGCAAATTGTAAATCACAGATGTACTATATTTTGTAATCACAGCTGTTCTAGCTTGTGTGCATTTACTCTGCTTTGGGGCCCATGTTTTTAATAGTCTTTCTCAAGCTTTTGTTTTTGACTGCTCATATGAGGAAATATTCTACTTGTCAACTTAGAAATAATGCAGTGATTGAAAACTGATACAATTTAAAATAATTGGACATTTATATGGTTTTGCACAGGGATGGTTTTATGAGTTAATCCTCACTTCTAAATATTGTCCTGTCTTTATTACAACAGGCCGAGACGTCGAGAGATCCAGCGGTAATGGAAAAGTTTTCACAACGGGCGAAAAAGTTCAGCATCATCTCCCTCGTGACTTGGTTCTCCATTCTGGCAATAATTCCCTTGCTAATGGCACTGATCTCATATCTTCTCACTTTGCAAGACTGATCATCCTCTGCAGGAAATAACCCGTGGAGTGGCTCTTCTTCAGATTCTGTTCATGGAGACAGACAGTGGACAGTACAAAGCTGCTCATTAAGAAACTGGAAGTTACACGAACATAAAAAAAGACTGCTGTAGTTTCTTTTGTGCTGATAGACTGCTACGCAAGGAACAAACACTTTAGAAGATGGTATTAAAAACCTTGCAACTTTTACATTTTTTATACGCTGTAATATTTATTCAACAATATATGAACATATGCACAATTCCAAATTTAAATGAACATATAAAATCCAGCATTGCCTATAGTCTGAAACATGACACGACAAGACACATATACATAATGTATATTAAAGATTAGGCCTGTCATCCTCCAGAAATGACCCAATCCTTAATATTTCTGACATTACAGTTTAACAAATAGTCATTCTTAGTTATTGTATATACTTGTGGATACTACAAAAGTTAATAAATTAGTCAGTCTGTGAATCTATACTGTAACGGCATACCTGTATTTATCAAGGATTGGGTCTCTGCTGGAAATAAAATGGCATGGCAGTGATCGTGGCAGTGCTTCACCAGGACGTTACAAGAAGCTGCGCTTGTTGTGCCAACATTATCTTGGCTTTATTGCATTGTTACCGTATCAGCTTTAATATTGTCAAATGTATCCATATGTTGTACTTTTATACAAACATATAAACAATTTTATAATAAAATGACAAAAAACGTTTGTGCTCTGAGTTGCTTGAAGCATTTTGACATGCCCTCATAAAAAAACAAACAAACAAACAAAAACACAGCGACAATTACAAATGTGCCAGCAAATTTTACAGTTAAGGCAACCTCATTAATGTTTGGCAAAAAAATCCCCCTTTCCCCACAAAAAAAATACATAGATAGGTAGTTTAACAAGAAGTCACCCCACAGAACAATTCAGAGAGAACCACAGGTTAAACAAAGAAACAGCAGTGGACACTTCCACTGATTAGAAATGCTCCCTGGAGTGCCTTATGGTTTTCATGTTATATTTTAGGAAACAAAACCTCTATAGCCACAAAATTACAAACATAAATAAGTGACTAATTGAAAAGGCCCTGTCCTGAGCTGAGTAAAATGATTTACACAGTCCAAGCCATTTGCAGATGCACTTGATTGTACACAAATTTCTTGGACAGAAACTTTGTGAAATTAGTTTCAGTGGTTACAAATCTCTTGCTGGCACGTTTAAAAGTTCTATTCAGCATTTAATAAAAAATAGCTGCCTCTATTAACAACTCAAAATGATACTGCAAGGTCACTGCTAGTAGCATGACACCCTGCCTTGTTTCCAAACAGAGAGTGCAACACAAATCAGATACAATCTGTATTATCATTTTGGGGAAAAAAAAAAACTTACTGCAGCAGAATTTCATCTTGACTCACCCTCACAGGCAGGTTGTGTAGAGTTGTCGAAACTGGTCTGAGATTTAAAATACGGAAATGATGCTATACTATACAAGTGCTTAAAAGAAGAATATCAACTTTTTTTTCTGTTATTGAAAAAGGGAAGTAGCTGAGGGGAGAAACGGACGGCAAAGGTTGTATATAAATGAAAAAGCGACTTACTAGTATACATGTATAAAGCATTTTACCACTATGTTCAGAACAAACTTCTATGAGGCAATACATTTATGATGCTATGATGTACTGTTCTTCAACTTGCAGGCTACAAATGCTACAGAATGAAAAAGTAATTCTTCAACTGAACTTGTCACCACAACATTTATACACCGATTGTGCTGATACAAAAAAAAAAAAAAAGAGCTGGAAGACTCACATGTGAATCTTCATGTTGAAACAAACTGTTTTTAAAGGCTGCCAAACAGTCGACATTTAAGAGGCATCTGTCAACTGTCTTTCTGATCGTGTATCAACCACAAATTCAGCTGATCAAGCTTCGCGCAGAGCAGTGAGTCCATATCTTGCGCGCTGAGGGACGGTTCGTCTTTAGGGAAGCCCCCTCTTCTCGTCCTGGAGGAGGTAATACCTGCTTTTCCAATCCCGAGAAGAGGCTTCTTTGGTTTTCTGGCCTCACCAACCTCCAGGAACTCCAAAAATCGCTTGACACGCCTCTGGCCAAACCAGGACTCAGAACCGTTCCTGCGATTGAGAGGCACCTCGAATATGGTTTCCAGCCGGCTGAAACGCGAGTGATAAATCCGAGTTAAGGCAGCGGAAAATTGATGACATACTGATGCAGCTGTTTTGGATAACAACATGACCTTTCCTCTGGTGCCACCATCTGGTCTAACTAAGACACTGAAGCTGTGTCCAAAATGCACACAACGTAGCAAATCACAGCCAGTATGAGCACGTGGTGTGTTTACACTGGAAGCACACTTTAGAGCTTTAGATTATTCTGTCTGATAGTTGAGAGAAACTATGCAATGCACAAAGAGAATGGAGGCTCAAGGCTGGTAAAAACTGGTTTGTGACAAAACAGCTTCAGTTGCACTTTAGAAAACAAAAACTGGAACTACTGCCTCGTGATTGTGCGACACCGCCGAGTTGCAGTTTCCTTTCTTGTATCTCCAGACTTGAGCTCTGATTATTTTAATATAAAAACGTCATCTCTTTATCCTATGGATATTTGTGGGACATTTTCTCACAACTGGCGTGTTAATTCTTGCGTTATGACCAAAAAAGGTTTTGTGATATCACATGGCCCCTCTGAAGAACAAAGTCTAATCAGTTCATTTCTGAGTCACAGTGGATGTTGCGGCCAAATCTGAAGAAATTCTCTGAAGGTGTTCCTGTGACACTGAGTTTACAAGAATGTGACAGACAGACACACAACTCTAAAACATGATTCCTCCAGCTTTGTTTGTTGCAGACAAGGAGGCATATAAATAACCAAATGTTTGGAATAATATTTCGCTAAGAAGTTTTGCTGATTGCAATCTTACATCTGATGGGAAAAGTCCTGTATCATTGTAGTGTTTGACTTAAAGGAATAGTTAGAAAGATTTCTTGAATGAAGAATACATTATCAAGATTACAGTCCAGCAGTATGCAAAGGTTTAAGGCATTTTGAAAGCTTAGATTTTTATCCCTCATGCAATACAATCAGGGTGGTGTCTCACATTCATTCTGGAGCACAACAACAAACCCAAACATGCAGCCAGAGTCATAAAGAACTATCGATGGTGACAAAAACAACACATGACTCAGTATTTTTAAACCAACAAATCTCTCCGGAGTGTTCAAGATTTACCTTTGCAACTCCTTTAAGTGCAGAAACACCGCATAGAGCCATAAATAAAGTTCATTTTACTGTTCAAAGTCTAAAGGGAAATGGTGGTGTTGGTGTAATTTAAGCTTTCTGTCTGGATTCATATTTGTAAAAGACTTGTGACTTGTTGAGCTTCTTCTCGATGTGCAAGTGAAACATTTACCACTTATCTAAATGCTATAAACAGTTCTATATGTTGACTTTACCTTTCAGGTGGTTTGCTGAAATTCTTATTGGTGTAGATTTCTTCCAAACTAAACTCCTTCTTTTTCAGCCTGTAGTGTAACAGAAGAAAAACGGAACAATGCAATCAGTCTGAGAGTTGATTAAAAGTTCTTCAATAAACAAACACGTGAACTGACATAAATTCACTTTCAGCTCTAGGTCAGAGTGTGACCCAACAGAATTTGTCCTGCGTTGTACTTTTAGTGCTGCATGTGTTTGAATTTACTGCACATGATTGAACATGAACTTGTAGATTTTATCAGCATAGAGGTTTTTGTACTTTCAGCCAGACAGACATAGAGGCTAGATAAGACTGTTACTTAAGATTCGGTGTGTACTTGCTGTGTGAATTGTGGCTATGAAAATACTAATTACAAAAGTGAAATGACTTACCCTTATGTTTAAATAACTACTTCTATATATATACACACAATGGAGCAACAAAGGAATTCAGGAATTCTCTTTATCTTGCTTATTGTAGCATTTGTGTAGAGTGACCTGTGCCACTACAGTGTGATACTTAACGAATGTATAATGGGCTACAGACCTGATTGGTTTGGGCAGGCCCATGGGCGTCAGGTTGGTCTGAGGTTTGGGTAAAGTTTTGCGAATTCTGATAGACGACACCTTCCCTCGTTCCTCGTGCTTTTTCACCACCTGTGATGATGAACGCTGAGATCATTCATTTTGAAAGCATAAAGTAATAAAATCAGCAGCAACTACAGTTACCACAGTGCAATGGGAGATGTATAGTATGCACCAGCTAAGCTAACAATAGCTGTGTTTTCATATAATTATCAAATGAGTATAAAGTGAACTTGTTAAATGCTGCAAAAAACAGAAAAATGTAAATTAAGTTTGATTCCCTGAACTGCTTTAGAGCAACTGCACTGGGCTGCTTAGTGTCATCAGAAGGGGGCAGTACAGGCTATGCTAATCATGGCTGTAATAAACAGAGTAGCTGCTTGTAGTTGTTTATCAGTGGCTAAAATAACTTACAATTCTATTGTTTCATGTGGTTCAAAGGCAAAGACACCAAATGAAGCAGGAAACAGCTGATCAGTCACGTGACCTAAATGTTCGCTACATTAGAACTTATTCGAAAAAGGTGTTCTCAGCGCTAATTTACAATGTGCTTGACAATGCGCTAAAGAAAGACATCAATTTAACATGCGAAGAGTCTACAAGGCACAGAGATTTTATATCATAAAATGTGTGACAGAGACCTGCACCCACCTACGACAAAATATCACTTAAATTTTAGGATGCTGAAATATTCGCAATTATTTTTGGAGTTTTAAAAAGGTTGTGCACTGAGATACAATACAACAAACATATTATATAGTGTCTATTTGATTTAGACTGAAGTACTGTTCTGTAGGTGTATCTACAAGTGGCAAATAAAGTGAGACAAAGTTCACATGAAAGTAACACCACTAGTGTTTAAATTTCAACATACACAAGAAGTCATTACACATATTTAAAATAATGTGTACCTTGATTTCAGAGTCAGACAGAGCCTTTTCCTCTCTCAGTCCAACGTCTTCAAACTCCTGACTGGAGGAGCTTGTGTCCTCGCCATCATCCTCCTCTTCCTCACTCTGGTGTCTCCTCTCAATCTCACACTCCAATCGATTCCCACTTCAAAGAAGCCAAGAGTGAATATCAGCAAAGTTTTGACACTTTGGAGAATCACTGGCATTATAGATCTACTTGAAGATTTTTAAAAAGTCTGTTACCTGCCATTAGAATCCAAAGTCCCACCAGAGGAGTCAGTTCTTGCATTAAATCCTGGAAGGTGCCACAAGGAGGAGCTCAATGGGAATGCCAAAGAGGAGGAGGAGGAGGGAGAGGAAACATGACTGGAAGTGCTGGGACTGCTGGCAGCAGCTCCTCTGCCGTCAACTTTCTTGGAAAGGAAAGCCAGGGGGCTTGAGAGGAAGCAGGAAGCGAGCGCTGAAAGGGACGTACTTGGGGAAAGTGCAAGACTGGGAGACAGGTGCTGGGTGAGGGGGTCGTATGGGGCAGATCTTCTGGACGGATACACCTCCTTCCGAAGACACAGAGGAGCGATCTCCCTCTCCACCTCCACGCTGCAGACTGTGTGTCGACGAGCCCGCCGCAGGGATTTGTGAGCGTGAGAGACAAAGGAATTGTGGGAGGACTGGTGGTGGTGGGAAGTGGGAGTCCTGCTGTGATGTGGTGAATGCACAGAGGAAGTCAAGGGCATGTCATGGTGACAGAGAGAGGGGATCTCTGGGCAAGAGTAGCTGCGCAAGAGGCGCATCGAAAACCCATTTCCTAATGAGTGTACACTTAATGTAGCCAGATCTGCATCCTCCATAGTGACAGATTTTGTCATCTCTTCAACTTTACGCGTCCTACTATGCAAAACCCTGCACTTCCTCCTTTGGTTATCTCGCCTCGCCTTAATGTTAACTCTTCTTGTGCTAGACCTTAGCCTAGAGAGACTGATGCTGCTATTGCTACTAACTTCACAGTCTGTAAGAAATATTTCATCAGCACCACAATTTGCTTGTCCATCTGTAAAATTCTTGTCTTCATTGTATAATTGTCCATAAGAGTCCAGAAGAGGTTTGGAGGATGAAGGAACAGGTTTGGGAATATCTTCAAAGGGTGTCATTTCAAAATATACAGGGTCTGTTGAGACTTTACCTTTGCTTTCTTTAGTCTGACTTTCTTTGGTTAATAATCGAGAGTTAGTGATACACTGCTTTGTCTCTTGAGTCCCACTAGATGATTGAACAGCACCTCTAAGACCCTTTTTGGGTCTCTTGGACGGCTGGCTCTGTCCTCTAGCAGAGTTTTCTTCTTTCTGAACAACAGAGGTATTCAAATTTCTAAGTGTGAGTTCTAATGGCTCCAATGATACCACTAATGTGTCTGACATCGAAGTGCTGTCTGGTTCAGTCATGGGGCTCGCTTGGTCTGGCGATTTCCGTTTTAGTGGCTTTTTGTTCATATTCCTGCACTTGCCCTGCAGCTGCTTTATATCAGGACGGACAAGAACTTCAGGTAAGGGTTCCTCCTCAGCTTGTTTAGTAGACGTGATTGCCACAGTTGTCTCCACATCCATGCCGTTGTCAAAGTTCACATCAGCTTTACTCAGAACTGTGCTCGTCTTCAGTCTTTTGCATGTACTGCTAGGCTTCACTTTGCTGCTGCAGCCCTTTTGGATGTCCTCCGACACACCACTGCTTTTATCCAGCGAGCAAACCAACATGGCATCAGGGGAACTTTCAGTCTGCATGTGTAGGGCTGCTTCATTTATTGTAGCAAGCATTTCTTGTCTACCTTTTCCTTTCCTATTTGTTTTTGTTGAAGTGGCCTGTCTTGTTCTAGAAGGTTTCAGAGTTTCTTCCCCATCTCTATTGGTATTTATCAGCACGGCCTCCTTTCTTGGTGGTCTTAGCTCTCTCCTTCTGCCAGTATCTGAAGTTATGTTTAATAACGCTTCATTTTTTGTATCCTCGGGATTTGCTTTCAATCTTTTACTTATTGAAGAATCTTGGGAATTACAGTTCGGTTTCATCGCCCTCTTTGCTCTCTCAGAGCCTGTACCTGAGCATGTTTCAGGGATTAGTTGACACTCCAGCTGCAGTGTATCCACAGTAGGCTCCAGTGTCCTTTTAGTAGCACCGTCACTAATGTTGTGATAGAGGCTTTGTTGAACCAAGCTGCAACTCTCCATGTTCCCAGCATCACCATCACTGTCATTAGGCTGAAGACCGTCTGAGTCAGGCTGAGCATAATAGATTGAAGAAGACAAAGACAGTATTTTGTCTGAGTCACCGTTGTTTGATTTAACAGAGTACTGGTGAGAAAGCTGCCTGTCACTGACCTCTGAGTCAGATTCCTCCTTTATGTCTTCAGACATAAGAGTCCTTGAGTTAACTTTTTTGAATTCAGATCTATTCCCTGTACGTCTTTTGGGTGGTATTTTCAGCCGGGAAGCCACCTTGTTCTTCTGGTCCTCCACAGCACTGGACAAATTTAACTTGGGTATATTTGAGGCACTTACATCGGCAGTGGACCGTAACAGGATTGACGATTTTATGGCAGACCCAACAGTTTCTGAAACTTGCTCAGAAACAATGCAGGGTAAGGGACTGTGCGTAAAAGGCACTAAATCAGGTGAGATTTTAGTCTTCTGATTTATTGCACATTCAGCAGTTTGTTCAGAACTGCGTGTTGACAACTCTGCATCAAAGTCTAATTTTTTAGAATATTTGGGAAGAAAAGTTTCTGTATCATGTGCACCTCCTACATCACTGAGCCTCTGCGAAACAGTTGTAGTACCCTGATTCCTGTCCTCGCTTTGTCCTGAATGAAACGTATTGCTTGGCTCTGAGTGTTCAGCATCAGTTGTTTCAGCGACTTGTAGCTCACACTCACTGAGTTTGTCCGGGTGGGGCATGGATGGCGGAGGACTGTTGGTTCTGAAGAGTTTGACGGGGCTCATTACTATCTCTGTGAAACTGGCCATCTTCGATTTGAATGACTGAAACAACGGGCCGATCACCCATCCCTTCGGTGCCGGAGTATTTTCAAAAGTGTCTTCAGCAGCCAATTCCCTGCATGTACTCATGTCAGATTTAGTATCATCAACATTCTTTGTGGTGTTCTGGGCCAACTGCTCAACTTCACTTTCTCCAGGAGACACATCTGGTGTCTTCTGATCCTTTTCCCTATAATAAAAAAGGAAATGTGACAAATCACTAAGCAGGAGTGAAAAATCTAAAATTAAAACATATAGATGTAAGGTTCTTGTCAAAGCATCACTGCACCGTGTAACTTTTGATAAAGATACTGTAATTAGTTTTCCATTTTTGAAAGAGCCCTGAAATGTCAGTGTTCATGTCCCCTTTCCTGATTTTTAATGTTCCATGGAAAATTACTTGCGCCACGCCTGCAGCACAGGCTCGGATCACAGCTGTTACTCTCTAAACATAGTTTCCTATTCACGTGTTCAACTGGTAAAATACAAGATAGATAAAAAATGCCTCAGTAAAATGTTTCCAAATCATCGATATGGTTATCATGCAAATACAAGCTGTTAAAAAAATAGCAGTCACACTTACTTGTTTTGGCGCTCTGCTGTAAAACTAAAATCCACTCCATCCTGGAAAATAAACAGATAAATATTTTACAGTTGTTTTAGGAGAATTAAGCAGCGCTTGGTTGAGCATCAATATCAACTAAGCTTCTGATCCAGCCAACTAAACCACCTACAAAACATATCAAATCATGCTCTTTGAGGAAACTTTTTTTTTTTTTTTAAACAAAGAAAAAGAAATATCTTTCACGTTTATAATATAAACAAAAAAGAAGTGTTAATTTATGGTTAAGGTTTTGTGTTGTAAAGGGGTACACTCAAATTATTTTATATTTAACCTATTTCCGCCTGGAAAAAAAAGAAGAGAAGCAATTTTACTGTATTAATTTTAGATGACAAGAAATATGGACTTTCTAAATTTTGGTAAAAGACAAAAGGAGTTGTAAAGAGTGGTCTTTTACTCAGCCAGCTTACTGTGTGGTTATTTGTTTTGGTTGAAATGGAGACAATAAAGATACACTGCATTCTGTTGTATCTGTAGTCTGCGCATTAGTAGGTCACATTAAGACACCCGATTGCCTGTCTGTGTCAGATGCAGCAGACCGTGAAGGAGGATTAAATCACTCAATTAACCCTGACACCCCGCTCACTGTACAGGTCTCAAATGTTTCCATACACAGCCTTACAGTACAGCTTCTGCATAAAGAGATTAGAGTCAAATGGCTTAATACCAGGAAAAAATACTACCTAGAGCATGCAGACAGACAAACAGCCTCTCAATGTGTCTCTTCACAGAAGGATTCAATGTAGAAACATCAAATCAAACAAAGATGAAACTGACCTCATTTTGTTTCTCATGCACATGTGCTCTTTCAACCCTTGGCTGCTCAGACAGAGACACTTGCACCTGTAAACAAGAGGGATGAATCAACAGTGCTATTAGCAGAGAGTCATTTCATCACTGATTAGCATCTAAACAAGATTTTCAAGTTAGATTCCTACCATATTTCCAATCTGTCTTTGTCTCTTTGAGGGGGACGGATTCTGTCTGGATGGTTTCTGAGCCGCTCGGCTGTCTGTGTTACTCTGCTTTTTAGGAGTCTGAGCTCTGACCGCCTGGATGCGACCACTTCGTCTGTGTCCAGATGTTCCATCACCGGCACAACTGTGAATGGTTCACAGAAATCCTTAAATTGAGCTTACATGCAGCATTTTTTGTTTCAAACTCAAAAAACCCCAAACGTACAGCCAGCCGTAGGGAAGAAAAAGGCAGACGAACCAGTATCAAAATAAAGAAAAAGATAGAAAACCAACAAATCAGCTCAATATTTTGATGCAATATAACAAGAATAAACATGATTATCAATCTGATCATCCAATCTTTCTAAACCATGAGCTAGCTCTAACTGAATTACAATTCAGCTGCATTTCTTACAAAAGCTATAAGCCAATCCAAGGGAATACATTCATTTGAGTGTTCAGAAAAACTTGTCTTCAGTTCAGGTGGGATTTCCAGTAAGTACCAGCAATCGTACAAAAACCTTTCTGTTATTTGGCCAAGCTATTCAACACTAAACGCTGGAGGCACTCTATATTTCAGGTGAGGAAAATTGTACTATGACTGAACTGGTGATATTCGGACAAGATGCAATCTTCAAAAAAAAAAAAAAAAAACATATGGGCAGGTGCCGAGACATCCCAATCTGCATCATGCACTCACATTGCATTGGACGAAAATAGAAACATGAAGTCACTGGAATTAAATACATTTGTCCAACGCATTTTGCCGTTAATGACTACAATAGCTATGGAGATGAGAAGTAAGTAGATATTGGCCACAATTCAATATTGTGTATTCCTAAACCGATCGGTCCATAAAGAAAACAAGTGCCATAAAGCAAGAAGGGGAAAATACACCAAAGAAACCAAAAAGGTGACAGGAAAACTATACCTGGGAGTGATGGAGGAAAGGGGGAGGAGAGGTGGTGGAGGTTCACTGTGGGGAGGTGCACTACAGAAAGGGTTTGGGGGAATAGCATCTTCATCCATTGGACAAACTATCTTAGGGAGCGAGTCAGAGGGATAAGTCAACATCCCCTTGCTCTCTCTCGCTCTCTTTCTCCTTGTCTGGCCTTCTCTGTAATAACAACAACGGAAAAACAACACACATGCGGGGTATCATATCAGTACGAAAGCACTTCAGAAGAGGTCTTAAAAAAGAAGCCTCACTTACTTTGCTAAACTCTGGGATGGAAGTGTATTCTGCAGTGAAGAACAGTAACACAAATGATTAGTTTGTATAGGCAAAATGTCAGAAATATGAGACATGTGTATCACAAAGGAAATCCAGAGAGTCCTTGGACTTGTTGGGTTTAACTAATCAGGTTAAAATATTTAACTTAGATAGGTTAATCACCACAATAAATAACACTATAATATTACAACAGTATTTTTAATATAGTCAGCTAATTATAATTGTATTTTTAAACCATTTTTGCAGGGTTTTAATTCCCAATAGTCCAATTAATCGGTTAATTTTACAGCATAAATAACACTGTTGGATCTTAACCCTAGTATTTAAACTTGTTCGATTAAATTCTAACTCCAGTCTTTTTTCATTACTGGGAAGCCCTTTGACTCAACAGCTGTTGCTTTGAATGAGTTTTATAAATAACAGTGACTTGGCTTGATAAAGTTCTCATGTCCAATCCACAACCCAAAACCCACAGATATGATGTTTACTATCACATAAAAGCGAGAAAAGCAGCAAATATTCACAGCTGAGCAACAGAAATTTTGACACATTCGCTTGTAAAACAACAACAAACAATTAACTGATTGAAAAGACGAGCAGACAAAGAGGTACAGAGTAACGCAAAGTCTGAAAGACGACACCACTACCTTAAGATTTAAATAAGCATAGGTAGCAATATCAACAATGCAACAATAGACAGGTGGGGCCATTCACGGAGATTTTGACTTGTGCTCATTGAAATGTAGGCACAGTCAAGCTTGGTGAGTGATACGTCTCCAATAGAGTCAATAAAAAAGGTTTCGCACTCTTATAAACGGGTTTACTTTTGCTTTCCAACCGCTATGCAATTTTACGTAGTGCCACGAAAGGGAATTAATTATGTTTCAGTGGGATATAAGAAACGTGTAAATAACAGTCCTTTCTTTTGAAACTGCATTATAAATCCAACTTCATAGTCGATAGCATAAGAAAATTTCAGATTAGAGGCAAAACCGACTTTCAACCTTTGAATGTGAGCTCCTAGTGTTTGCCAGTCATTGTGGTTGGCACGCAGTATTCGTTCACTTGCGCGAAAAGTTGTCTTGCGCATATCTAATAACTACGCCAAGCTAATAGAGGTAGCAGCACGATGAAACGGAAATGTACCAGGTTTTGTAGCTAATAAAGTATAAAAAATATTTCAGGTGTTGTTTATAATCAAACAGAAGCGGCGGTTCGATCAAAAATGAGCGTCGTCTACTTGCTGGAACTTTTATTTATGCGCTAGCGTTTCATTAGTCAAGCCAAGGTTTATATCTTCTAAAAGACGGTTATCCAGACAGTGAAGCGCATTTAACATTTTAGGTGCGTCGCAGCAGAGATTTGTTGTAACTCCGTCAAACCTGCATGGTTTGGCTAACACTGATATTCCTATAGTGTATAGCATCCAGTTACCGCACCAGGGAATAGACGTAGCCGTGAACTGTCATATCTTCCACCATATATTATGGGGCGGCTGGACGTATCCTTGGGTCGCAGTTTAGTTGCACACGGTGACTGAAGCTAAATAACATTAAAGAAACTCACCTGAAACGGTTAGCGGGACCGCAGGTTGGGATTCCGACCTCGCCGTAAACAAGACATGCCGGACGGCGCCCTACAGCGACTCGCAGATGGATCCGTTTTTACAAATCCAACAGCCAGACAGACGGATCAGCCAATCACAGCGAGACTTGTTTTTCCGCCCGGAAAGCCCTGTTGAAATCTGACCAATTAGGAGACGATTTGAAGGGTAGCTGGTCCAGGGCAGCCAATAGGTGGGCGAGGAAAAATAGCTAAAAAGCTCGTAAATTTGAGCCTTTTTTTGATGTCCTCGGGTGACCCAGTATCTTTGAAGACCCACATCACAGTCAGATCTACAAAATTGTTGTAATATCTCATCACAACAGTTTGCAGGCACGATTAACATTTTTAAAAGTCAAAATATAACTACTAATCACCTTGTAATGTCTTGTCTACCCATAAATTTAACACAAACTCCTACTTTTAAGCAAACTACACTAGGAATGCTACAACTTGTTTCTTTTTTTGGATTAATCTGACATTTACTTTCTCCAGCTTTACATCTTCAAACTATCCTGGAGAACTCAGTGATGCCACTAAATGTGAGAAATCATCCCAAGTATTTATTAGAATGTAAAAAAAAATCAACAAAATCATGTTGCTTTTTGTGACAAATAATTTAAATATAAAAACATTTGTTTTTCTTCCTCTACACTAATCACTGTTGCAGCCTTTAAAACAGCCAAATTAGCTTCTACAGTGATCTTGGGCTACTGTGACTTCAAATATAAAAGTCTACACAACTTGAATTGCTTCTGAGATGACACTGATGAAGAGCAGCGATGTTACGCGAAGCAGTTATCCCTACTACAAGCACTATCCCACTATGAGTACTTGAAGCTGTGCCATTAAGCACGATTCTAAACATCTTCATATTTGACTCTAGAGAAAACAAATCTTTCACAGCAAAAGTACCATTTAGCATTGAGAATTGAGGAAATTGGACTGAACTGACGTACTCTTTCAGAACTATGTTATTCTGAATATGAATGAATGTCTAGATCAATGACCCTTACAATGAGCCATCAGTGTGATTTGGATCTCAGCAAGCCACAAAAAAAAGGCTGTTAACAAAACCACATACATGAATTATTTATTTAAAAACAATGTACATAAAACAAAGCCAGTGTTATACTGACAGATTTGACAACAAACCCCTGGATGAGACAAGTGAAGAATGATTGCAAATGAATCATGAATGCTCACAGCAGTTGCAATGGTTTTTAATTAGATACATAAATCATGTATAGAGCTCAAAGTCCAGTCTCTTGGAGTTGTAGAACTGAGATCCCTCCTGGTCCACCCTTCTGCAGTAAACACCACTGCTGAAATAGCCTTCATCCACCCAGTCCTGTGAAAAAAACAATAAGAAGATTAAAACCCACCTGGACGGAAGGAGGTTAAAGGTAAGACCGCCCTGCAACCCAATAATCTAATAAACATAATGGGATTTATAAGTAACTTTGTAGGTGTTTATAGAAAAACAAAATAATCTTGTAGTCGTGCACCTGTACGAAAAAAGCATATCCATGACTAGAAGTAAAGGGAACTCAAAATATATTATGTGCAGTATGACAGTTATGTCATAAATCATTAAAAAAGAGAAAATGAAAATTGAATTTATTTAATCATTTATTTAATTAAAAATAACTGAATTTATTTTACAAAAATTTTAAAAACTTGGAATGAACATGTACAATTTTTTTCAATAAAGGGAAAAAAATGTTTACTCTACATACCTGGATATTATGCTACTTGCTTTTTTAATTAGTTACCATACATGTCTCCTAACTGCGGTGTGTAAACACTGCCTGCAGTTCAGCTGAACAGTCCCTGAATGTTTGTCATGTAACTGTTGGTCACATGGCTTCTCAGTTGCACAGAGAGGTGCAGGATTTCTTTGGTTTTCTATAGAACGTGAGTGCTGTAAATGGCTTAGTTTTGGCACACTTTGAAATGAGACATGTATAATAAAGTGACTTTAATAAAATATCACAATTTTAAGCTTTGATTTTTCCAGATCAAACTGTAAGTCACAAATGATTCACTCAAGGACAATCAGAAAGTCAGAAATCCAATGACTCTTCCTCTTTTATGGTGTGTGGCTCTGATAAATGGTGTCCTTTTTTTTTTTTCTTTTAAAAGAAAACATACCTTTCTTAACCTCCAACCAATTTGGGGGCTCAGAGGTTTAAACAGTCACTTACACAATCAGACAATCAAAAGAAACACAATAACAAAGACTTAGAGTTAACTCATATATCAGGGTTTTTTGACAACCCACAAGACATTTTTGGGGTCCACAAATAAGGTTTCTAACCAGCGGCAGAATATAGAATTAAACTTGATTTATTTTTTTGTTCATTAGAGTTTCTCTTATTTGTGCAAATTATAGATTTTTGGTTATTGAGTAGTCAGGAACGACAAAGAAAAAAGCATTGATTTGTCCTTGACGTAACAGATCCATTTCCTTTAATCTTCGTGGCCTGATTGTGCGTAACTATGATCCAGAGTCAAACCCCGAAGGCTCATTCTGGGCCAAGATAAATCCTGCCCACAAGTATCTACATGCACAACATCAAGAAACTGTTGCAAGAGAATACCTGCATCTGTTGGCTGGTGAAGGGGCCGTAGATGTCTGAATTATCCTCGTTCTCCCATTTGTACTCCCACATCACTTCATCACTCACTGAGAGAAACACAAAGCTGGATTAAACAAGACAGATATTTTGTAATATTAAAGACAAAGTATACAAGTAAGACTAAGTAACCTCTTTTGTCGTCTTCCTCTGCGTTGTTCTCTGATTTGCCACTGTGCTTCTCATCAAATTCATCAGCAAACATGTCAAGTTCCTCCTCTTCTTCGCCATCACCATCACCTCTGTTGTTCTTCCCCACCGCCGGTCGCTTGCTCTTCATGTTCTTCATCAAATAGACCAGTTTTTCATATGTTTGCTGATAGATTTCAAACATCCCAGATCCAACCAGTCTGTCAGCTAGTGCTGTGAGCCTATCAAGCTTTTCTGTATCCCTTTTGGCCTCCTCTGTGGATTTACTCTCTTCTCTCAGCTTTCCCTTCTTTCTCCCTCCAAGGCCTCCTAACCGACGGAGCGCTGCGGCAACTGTTTCACCAGGTTGCAGCAGTTCGACTACAGCTTCGGTGAGCTGGTGCTGTGTGTAGGATGCCAGGGGATCTTCAGCAGGCTCTGGTTCCTCCTCCTCCTCTTCTTCTTCTTGGTCTGCTTGTTTTTCCTCTCTCTGTTTTTCTTCTTCAGCTTCGTCCTCATCACCTGCTCTGCGCGTCCGTTTGGCTCCGAGACCTTTCTTCTTTTGTTTGAAAGGCTGCTCTTTTATTCTTACCTGCAAAAGGAAACTTAGAATATTTTAAATTGCTTAAAACGTTTTAAAAAATGAAGCAAATGTCTTTAAAACTCATTTACCCAGTCGATGTTGTCAAGCCAGTTGTCTCTAATCTGTTGTTCCTTTTTGATGAAGTAGTTTCCCTCGGAGTCAAAGTGACCTTCCTGCATCTCCTCATCCAAGTTGAACGGGGTAATAGAAACTCCCTCATCGTAGTTGATTGTTGCGTCCTCTTGCCCTGGATGGCATAGTCCGAAATGAAATCAGACTTATAGACTGTACAAAGCAGGCATGGGCCTAAAGCCACTCTCTTGTTACTGACATACCTCCAAATTTAATTTAAGGGGGGAAAACTTTAGGTTTAAACTTGACAAGAACACTTCAATATGTTCTCAAATTCTTTTCTGCAAAAATGTTGCGCAACACCAGTTATCAGCCGTTTAAAATCTCATATTTACAGTTCAATTATTCAGTACCTTCCACATCATCACTGGCTAAAATATCATATTTGCTGCTGTTTGTGTCCTCCCCTTCGTCCTCTTCATCACTGTCAAGGGAATGTTTACCCTTGAACCTGGAGCCTGGTCCACTGACAGCCTCGCAGCTCTATTTCACCAGAGAAAGAAAGCCAAAAAGAAAACATTACTTAACAGTAAAGTCAATACAGACATCCCTTGGGCTCGCAAATTCAGTGACTACTTTCCTTGTGAAAAAATGATTAAGCCCTATAGCAGTCCACCTGTCTATATATCAGTTTAAAAAACACAGTCCGACGGTCAGCGGAATTCAGCATTTTCCAGTGAAAGTCTTGTGTTATAGATATATCAAAAAAGTCACAATAAAAGACGAAATAATGAAAGGGTCTTGCACCGGCTTCTCACATAGTTACTTTCACCAACACTGTAAGAGAGCTGTGCATCATAAGTGTAGTGTTTCGTACATTAAGTATAGTCTTTACTGGACCAAAGGCAATCCTGTCTGAACACAAGTTGTTATTCTCTTCTTCTATGTGTTTGTGTTTATGGAACAACATTACAGGGGTGCATCACATTGTTTGTGTGGAATCAACTGCGACATTATATGTCTATAACTTATATTTTTGAAGACCTAACTGACAAATCAGATACTGGGTTTATTGGTCAAGTGATTCATCAAGGAGATGCTATTGGTTTGTATGTGTAAAGAAGAAACTTATTTACCAAAATATTATCCATCTGTAGGTGTCATGTTCTAATTGCAAGCCTTACACACTGAGCATGAATGTTTAATAATCATTATTATGAGCACAGTCATAATAAAAATACTTTAAATCTAACAACAGATAGTAAACCAACAAAAGAAGCAGCCAAACCAGTGCTACACACATTTCTGTGACATGATCAGGAAATTCTGATATACTGAAATTGCAAAAGTTCTGTTATAGTTTAGTTCTTTTAAGTGCAGTGCTTCCACAGTATTTTGATGTGGCTGCAGATTTTAATAAATGTGTGCGCTGAAATCTGTGACCTGTCAGACATGCGAAGTAAGCAAGAATCAACAGACATAAAATGAGAGGGGTAATGACCAGTAAGACAAACCATGGACAGTGCACAACACACAACTAGGGCTGCAATTAATGATTTTCTTTGTCGACTGATCCGTCAGTTTTTTCATTGATGAATAAATAAGTTGTGTGATTTATAAAAAGTCAGAAAATACAGAAAAATGTCTGTTAGAGTTTCATAAAACCCAAGATTTCTTCTTCCAGTGTGTTGTTTTGTCCACAATGCAAAGATATTCCATTTACGGTCACAAAAATGATAAGGGACTTATTTAAGAAACTCTATGTTTTTTGTTTAAAAAGTTAGTCTGTCTGATTAATATGAAATTGTTCAATTCAAAACTTGACAAGTAATCAATTAATCATTGCAGTGCTACACATGATCATATATGAGTACATACTAGGGCTAAACAAAACATTTATTCGTGATTTTTAATATAATCTTTCGAAGGTTCGGTTCAGTATCTATTGTGTAACAGATTTACAACGTGATGGACCACGACAACACGAAACCCCATTCAAATAATAACTGTGCTATACTCTAATGCAAAGATGAGAATGTAAAGATATAAACTGCTTCACAACTGTATTAATTACATTCTGGAAATGGCATAGGATATAGGTGAACTATCAAAAAAAAAAAAACAGTCTTAAGTTGAATAAATAGTCATAATAGCAACAAATAAAGTCATGTAAAAAGAAAGCAATACACACTTTCTGTGAAGAATCTCAGGTAGGTCATTACTGGCTCAGGACCAGCATTTAGGTGCTGCCCAATTTGCAAGAAAGTTCAATCAATTAATTAAAAAAGAAAAAAAAACGGAATCAAACTCTTTTTTTCTGATTTACTAATTACATTGCTTCAAACTGCGATTTTGATATGAAGCAAATAAACTGTTCAGAATTATTCCATACACAAGAATTATAAATACTATGAGCATAATCTTGGGAACTGCTTTATGATAAAGCACTGATATGAATAATGTGCCAGCTAAAATGTCTAAGTGGGTTTACAGGATTTGCTGTTTTCTGTGTATTAGGAATAAATGTATGCTGTTTTATTTAAAGTCAAATAACAAAATTCCGTTTGGCAAAAACAACTAAATACACTTACGCTCCTGAGCCTTTCATGATACAACACTTTAACAACACAAACTTTTGCCCTCTGACAGTGCAACTCTTGAAACGTGATAAATAACTGTGGAGACGGGACAGCATTACCTTTTTATTTGGTACGTCGTCTTCCAGGTCAAACTCTCCGTTACCGTCCTCAAATGTCACTTTTCTTTTCGGCATGGTGCTGCAGAAGGCAATGCAGTGACTCTGCAAATCCAGTAACGCAACTGAAGGTGAGCTATAACATTAGTGAGTAGTTTTACAAGACTTTTTTTAAACAGTAAATGCTTGTGAGGCTGGAAACATGAACCGTTCATACAGAACTCATGTTAGCTTTGAAGCTAAACTGTTAGCCAACAACAACACAGCGCATGCAGAACAAATGAAGCGTTTATCACAGTTCAGAATACCTGCCTACAGGTGAGATGACATTTAGTTCAGTGTAACGTATACGCACTAAAAGTGAAATGTGCAAACAAGGCGGTTAAAGTAATATGAAGCTGCAAATGTGCCAAAAACCTGGAAATAATTCAAGCGACGTTCGTTTTCGTTTCTTCTTCGCTGGTTTTCTTCTTCGCCTTTTTAAAAAATGTTGTTTTCACATTGAAACGGTGCAATACCGCCACTGCCTGGGGAGGAGTTTTAGTGCACGCTTCAAATGTTCAAATTAACCTTTTCCTATAGGTATGGAGGTGAAAACATTTGACTGAACATTTATCAGCCATTTTATGTAAGCAAAAAGGTTTTGAGCAAAAATGCAAAAACTTAGGATAGTTTAGTAAAGAAGATTATTGTTAGTTAGCTTTGATTTTACAAAAATTTAAAAAATTTTCTATGTGATGGAACCTGCAGACGTGCTTTGCTTTTATTTCTTAGCTTTTCATTTTATGTCATCACCAAAGTTTTGATCATGACACAATTCAACAGTGGGTATTTGTGAATCAATCTAAATGTGTATACTGATCTTGAAGTTATAGGTTACGACAGTATATCTTGGGACAAAAATCTGAATTTGTACATAGCTGTATCCAACTGTATAGCTGTCTTCAACAGGGAGGGACATCTACTCCTGATCCATGTGGGATATTTATTTTTTTATTATTATTTTTTACAGAGAGTACTTAAGGATTAAAATAATTAGAGATAAAAAAAAATATATATATTCTAACATGTTTTTGCACTAAGAATTCTGAAAAACCTTTAACCTCTTCAGACCCGAGCTCTTGTGATATGCATTTTTTTATTCCTCTTTGCTATTTGATCTGATCAAATAGCAAAGAGGAATAAAAATAAAAAAATAAAGAAAATAAAAATATATTAAAACATATTAAATACTAACATAAGCATAAATACAAACAATAAAAGAATAATAATAATAATAATAATAATAATAATAATAATGTGGTAATATAAAAAAAATTGTGATGTCCACGCATGTGGATGCCAAGTCTTAAGAGGTTAATTGTGACATACAAAAAGGCCTTTTTAATGATAAATCCCACAGTGTCTGAGTGAATGTTACACTTTACGTGCAGCAATGCTGATATTTTTCATTAATATGTACATTAAACTCTGTATTTTTCTCACACACACCCAGCTGACAGGTGCAGGAAAGATGATTCAAAAAAAGATAGTGTTAAAGTCTCAAATGTTTGGGATCCTTCAAGATAGTGTGCAGGAATTTAACACTTTTTTTGCACATGTATGTAATCTGAAACTCAGTGGTGCAGAAAGATGACTACAGTATTCAAGGTCCTAGAAGTCTTAACACTTCGGACCCTTTTAGCTGCAGAATTCCTTGAGGTCCATTAGGATAAAACAGATAAGTGGCTGTCAGAAATAGACACAACAAGCAAAGAAATGTTGAGAGACATTTTCCAAAAGGTCAGTGAATGTCTTTCACTTCCTTTCATTTACTTCAAATAAATATTTAATGTATCTGAATAAAGTTCTGTATGTCTCCCTGAAGAGTCAACCATCTACCTATAGGGACATCTGCACCACAAACAAACAGAGGTTAAAATAAAATTTGTGTGATCACAAGAAAAGTAACAGGAAATGCAGAAGTGAGAGAGCTGCAGCAGATGCATCAGACTTCGAACTTCACTTCAACTTTTAGCATCTTACTTCCAGGTTGCACTTCTGGTCAGTGAGTCTGGTTTGTGCGACCCGTCGGCTCGAGGCAGAGTGAAGCGTCGCAGAGAGAGAGGGAGAGAGAGAATATAATGTGTCAGGATTTTGTTACCAGGAAGTGGGTCGAGTTATTTATATTTCAACACTCGTCCTCTTGTACCCGAGGGACAACCAGTGGTAGTAACCTGAAACTATATATTCAAGCGTTGTCTGGTTCTGGACGATTCAAACTGATGGAGAACAATTGGCTTCACGTTTAGGAACGACAAGAATCCAAAGAAAATTTCTGTAACTGTAAATAATGTAAAGACTGTGTGGGAGGGTAAAGTGACCCTGTGAGGGACTCAACACTGGCAGAGGTAAGTCTGAGTCACAGTTTTTATTAAACTGAATCACTGTGCAAGAACTTCAGGGTTATGGCTAATAAAATTTCGCTTCTTGGCAATATTACTGTCATTGTCACTGTAACCTACTTATATATACAGTTTGCAATGTTTTATTTACTTAGATTAATTCAGTATACATTTAAAATTACAGTATGGTCTTGGATCTATCTATCTATCTATCTATCTATCTATCTATCTATCTATCTATCTATCTTATAGGGAATTTCATTGTTTTATAGTGTTTTATATCCTTCATTAAACAAAAACATTAATGAAAGCTTAGAAAATGTATCTAAATTATGGAACATTACTGTATTTTTTGGTGCCTCTGCTGTGAGAATACTACATTACACTTTATTTATATTATTTTTTTTTTACAGTGAATAAATCATCTCACATGTAGTTGGTTTACAGACCGTCCAGGATGACAGTTTCAGTGTGAACATATCCTAATTCTAACAAACATGGTCTCACTGTTTTCTTCTTGTCATCATGGTCATCTGTTTGATTTTGACACAAAAACAAGAAAATATAGCTGATCTCATATGAAATTAAAGCAAGAAAACGTATTTTAATGATAGAAAATCACTATTTTTATGATGGTTATTTTTTTGTAATTTTACAGTATTGTTTGGCATCCCAGCTGCATGAATACCACAGTGTTTTACAGTGTAAACTCTAATCCTCACAGTTTAAAATTAGTACATTTTAGCAGAGCTCTGTTGCACAATTTAAAACTAATGTCCATTTAGGAAATCCAAGTTTCTCGATGCAAACCAAAATTAAACAGGTTTAATCAAAATGCAGGCACATTTTTACTTCAAGTAAAATATCTGTCTATCTGTTACTGTAACTTCAGTTTAGTTCACTGGTTCCCAACTTTGGCATCAAGCCCAATCAAAGGGTCACAATGTAAACCTGAGGGGTCATGAAGTGATTAAATGTTTAGGAATAAAGAAAAAACAAAGTTCTTCTTGTGTCTTTTTAACTTTTTAGGCCTAGAACGCTTATTTCAAAGCGACAGTGTGTAAAGTCTGGAAAGGGAAATGAGAATTTATCAACAACTGAAACGCAACACGGGGCCTCAAACAGACAGTACAGCGCTTGAGTGATTTCCCTTAAATATATTATACTCTATACCTACACTGCTGATTTCAATCCTTTAGTGTGACGACGACTGGTTATACTATTTAGTTTCTAATTTCAGTCAATTTACCAGATGTTTTCAATTTTAACGTACACATCTGTGACATGTTTCATTCTACATGTCGTACATTTTCCAGTATAAATACCTTCCAAATGCTGTGGTGGGATGAAGCTCCATGAGAAGATTTTGACCCATTACCTATCATGCACCTCTCCGGTGGATAAAGAGGGATATCTCTACAAAAAGGTTTGAGAAAACATAAAACATGCAATATGAAATCACTTTTCATATGGTCACAACTGCAATAATCCTGCTTTACTTTGACATACTTCTTTCTAGAAAGAGCGAAATGCCACCTACCAGCGGCGGTGGTTCGTCCTGAAGGCCAACCTGCTTTTCTACCAGGAGCGTCCAGCTGACCGACACCTGCTGGGTGTCATCGTGCTGGAGGGGTGTGCCGTCCGCCGTGCAGAGGCTGATGCACAGTTTGCCTTTTCCCTGGTGTTCGGGCCTGGACTCAAAACCTACAGGTTTGCTGCAGGGGATCGACAGACGCAGGAGAGCTGGGTAAAGGCTTTGCTGTCGGCCAGCCACTGTTACCTCTCCCTGCTGGTCAGAGACCTGGGGAGGCAGTATGAAGGTGTGTAGGTCCTAAACTGTTGTTTCACACATACACAGAAAGTCTGTCTTTTTACCAATAGAAGTTTGTTCTTTTAAAACATTTGACTGTAATTTGATTGCTGATTCGAATCAACAATCAAATTATATTATTTTTCAGATAGCACTGCGTGAAATTACCATTGAAAAAAACATTAATTTACATGCTGCCAGCAAAACAACAACAACAAAAAACAGGCCAAAATGGTACATAATGCTCACATCAAAAATCGTTTTGTTCTAAATAGTAATTTTATTGTAATTTATGGTAATTTGTGTTTGTATAAATGAGGCAATTAAGGTATAACTTGTTAATCTGTGATTTTTAGATATTTTTAATTGATTTTATCACCTGATGACAGACAAGTTTGGTATTTCCCCTGATTACCAGTGTTTGTGCTAAGCTAAGCTAACTGGCTATCCAAACACAAGAGCAGGATTCTCATTGAAGTCAAGCACAAAATGTCACTAATCCTTTAAAAAAGCTGCTACATAGGAAATATTTGTTCTCACAGCTGTTGTTATTTTATTTTTATTTTTTTGCTTGTTTGTTTGTCTGTTTTTTTTTTTTTGCAGAAGCTAAACAGCAGCAAGGCTCCAGTGAATCCCGCTCCTCCAGTGCCCTAAAACCGTCCACGTACAGCTTCTTATTCACTGCACAGGGACTGACAACAACAGCGGTGGTCAGGGAGGGAAGGAGCTTCAGTGCCAGCACTGTTTTACAAGCACCTTCAATACCAACTAAAGTAGTAGCTAAGAAGTCCCCCAAACTGTGGCCCAGAAGAAATGCTTACGTCACACCCCTGAATGGACCGGCACCTTTGTACGGCGAGTGGCCTTTGGTGGGTTTTGACCCGCTTGAGGACTTCAGCAAACTTCATGATTATTACGGCCAGGAGGTGAAGAAAGCCAGAGAGGAGTGGCTGAGAAGTCGGCAAACAGAGGAAGAGCGCAGTGACGAAGATCTCATCGACCTGGGGTGAAAAAAAAACGAGTTTAGGGATTCGTTAAGAGGAACTGAGATGAAGCGATTCATGTGTGTGTGTCAAACAGGAACTGAACCTGAAGTGTTTTGAGTTATGCTGTATTTATAGAGTTTGAGGAGCAGACACCTGTTTATATGCTAAAAGTCAATCTGTTTCTCGTGACCAGCTTGGATCATTTCAGAATTATTTCAAAGAAAGCTGTGATTTAGCCATTTGCCAGAGCAGAGACAGCTCTACACTGTCACTTTCTGAACTTTAAACAGTTTGCAGATCGGCCTTTTCACTGCTTATTGGCTTGTTATAGTAAAAGCACAGGTTAATAACATTAGCATCTGTTCTATTTAAGTGTCCCAGGAAGCCGAGACAGTCAACATGCACAACACAGAGATGCTAAAAATGGAATTCAGTCATCATTAATTTCATAATTTCAAGGTGCAGTCCACGGCTCTAGAGAAGGATTGTTGATATTTAGCCAGTTAGTATATTTAGATAGTTAGCATGTGCCAGATTTACCGTCCCTCTCCCTTCCACGGCCACAACCACGATGAGATGTTCACTGAATCTGACAACAAGTATTAGAGAAAAAGTGAAAGAGAGAGAAAAAAATATCTGCTAACCGAGGAACATCAAAACATCTCTATTATATGGACACATCCAGGCTGGACTGTTTAAAAGATGCTGTGCTTCTGCCTGACGGATTAACTGAGCATGAACTTTATATATAGATGTACTTTCCTCAGCTCATGGGCACTCTGTCCTGAAGAGGACACAAGATGCTATGAGTGGGCATCTTTTTTCCAGTCCCCACTGCCACATCTCAAAATAATAAAGCCATTTAATTGTGAGGAGTACCTTGGTTTGCAGATATTTTTTCCTCCACTGATTTTTCCCTTGACACCAAAGAGCATCACGCAAAATAAAAATCAGAATTAAGACTTTCTATAGATAGAGCACACCTGCAATGGTCTATTGTATGAGTAGAATTGCAGACTCTAGCTTTAAAATCCCATTCCTTGTTTGTCTTTGTGTTCCTCCTGCTGCTTGGAACCTGCTCGTCTGCTGTTAATTGCATTTTCTGAGCAGTTTATCTTTCACAAGTGGTGCAGTTAACAGTTTCATCCACAGTATAAAAATGCCTTATGATGCAGTATTAAGTAAAGAGTATTGTATATTTTTCATTGCATGAAAAAAAATAAAATTGATGTCGATTTAAATGTCTCACAGTCAGTTAATTCTTGGACACATAACTGTAAGATGCTGCTGCTTAAAATGGAACTCCAAGGATCATTAAGATTTAAAATGTTGTAATAAGCATGAGCCACCTGAAATGTGTATGAAATTGGCATTTTGCACAGCTGATATTTGGATGTCAGTTTCAGTATTTCGTCAGGCACTTCCTCAGAGCTGAAATGTTGACTTGATTAATTAATTAGTTCATCAACAAAAAAAGAATTAGCAACAACACCAGCTCCTTTAATGTGAAGATGAGTTAGTTTCTTATTTTACAATGGCAGCAAATATCGTTTATTTGAGGAAATTTCAACAATTTTCAGACATTTTCTACTTTCTACTAAAAACTTCAACTAACAATAAAGTGTTCAGTGCAGAACACTAGAGGATGGAGGATCAGTAATAGATGGTAATCTAGTACAATGGTGCAAATGCCTGACAAATTTGAACTAAATCAAACTCCATAAATCCAAAAATTGTCGAGTAAACATGCTTTTTGGGGTCCATGGTGGCCTTGGTTTACACAGGTCCAGATCTGGGATAGACAGATCTATACACCGCTTAATCCTCACTAGGGTCGCGGGGGGGCTGGAGCCTATCCCAGCCGACTTAGGGCGAAGGCAGACACTATAGACAGACAACCAAGCACACTCCCATTCACACCTATGGACAATTTAGAATCACCAATGAACCTCAACATGTTTTTGGACCTTGTGGGAGGAAGCTGGAGAACCCGGAGAGAACCCACACTGCATGGGGAGAACATGCAAACTCCACGCAGAAAGATTCCAGTGCCCCCACCGGGACGCGAACCGGCAACCTTCTTGCTGCTTGCAACAGTGCGCCACCCTGCAGCCCACTTAAGATGATGAATTAGTTAATAAAGAGCACCAGTGACGAATACGACAGTCAGTGTGAGATGGTGAACAGCAGAGGGAGCTGCAGGCACAGCGTCATGAGCTCAGTCAGAAATAGTTCAGTGATTTATGGAAGTTTGTGATGGATGCAAAGAATTCCGCTGGTGTTAAAAGTGACAGGGTTAAATATTTAGGAAAATGAAGTGCCTTTAATTGAGTTATCCACTTCTTGACTTGCATCATTACAACATGTCTGATTCCTACTTAGCGTAGCTCTTTTTTTACACCCAAACTGTTCATTCAGCTGCCATGTTCCTCCCACCAGACTTAAGACAACAAAAGCAGACACCTGACCTGCCCTTAACCCTAAAATTTACTGTATGGCAATTGATGTAACCCAATCCTGGCTGGAATCAGATAACAAAACAAGGCAACCTGAGGCTGGCAGGTAATCAAACACAGCAGAGTGTAACATTACAAACTCTCCCACGTCGCTGGTTCCTTAAGCTCGTCTTCCATAGGTCAAGCGTGAAGCTTCTCCGCATTCCAGACCCTACAGACACACATACCAATCATCTAAAAAGTGATAGATGGCTTCAGAGGAGCGTGGAGAGACGTGTCACGTTACAGCAGTGACCCCTGCAATGTACACACATCTGTATGCAGACACTTCCTCACGATACCAGCGTGTAAACACATTGTGAAGCACGTGACGTCCGTAAACTGTAGCAGCTGAAACATCTGTGAAGAGTTTAAGATGTGACAGCTTATTCTCATATTTTCAGGAATGTCTTGTCACTCACAACTTGTAGACAGGCGATGATTCACGGCACTAAATATAAACAACTTTTCCTGATTTACGACTTTTTCAGGACAGATATTTAAACATCAAGAGCAAGAATTTGTCACTGAAAAATCTTCATCACCAAAATTCTTGTCATATAAAGAAGACAACACATTTAGTTTTTGCTATTATGTTGATTATTAATGTGAAAAAGCCAAATGTAAGGAATGCAAAATGGCTGCAAGGATTGTGACAAACCAGGCCAGCAGAATTTGTGGTAAATGAAAAACTTGCTGCATAAAGGCAGCCACAAAATGACATACATTATTATTAAACTCACAAAACTGCTGTAACGCTAATAGACAAACCCTTTGCTTTAAAATGGCACAATCACACCTCACTGTCCTAATCCTGTCTATCATTTGCAGGATTAAGGGACACTCTTTCAAAAAATCTTAAATTAAGACTTTAAATCACTGACTTTTAAATGTAAGGGCAAACTAAAGCTGGGTTGAACCAACAAGGATTATTTTTTAAACCTGATTAAATCATAGTTTCATTTAAATAATGGGCCAACTGCCAAACAGGACAGTGAAAGAAGTGCATCTTCACTACTAACGCTCCAGATCCTAGTGGCTCTCAGATGTAATGTCACTGAATGTTTCCAGAGGTTAGACGACGACATGTCTGGCCTCCACAGCTTCACTATCTGCTGAACTGTCAGAGCACAGTGTCCCAGTACATATAGTTCTCTCCAATGGGGGGCAGCTAACAGCCCCCCAGTTATAGCCACCCAAGTCCCACCAGGACACAAACCAGGTCTTGTTTATTTAGTTATTCATTTTGAATAGATACATTTTTATGCAGTGAAAAACTAAACGTCATGTTTAATTTCGGTTTCGATCAAAAATCTCGGAATTTTTGAACTGTGCAACAGAGTTTGGCTTAACTTTAAATCTCTATTTACCTACTTATTTTAAACCAGGTTTTGCTAAATTTGTTTCAAAAACACTACATATATAACACATATTTTACCGGTAATTTTGTAAAAACATTGTAAAATTTAAAAAGAACAGAAAATGGAAATCTTCCAATTATTTACAGTTACAGGTTTTCAATGTTATTTTACATGATACATTTAAATTTACAGCCTTTTAAGTTTTTTTATTGATATTTTCATTTATTTCAGAAATTTGGGAAACATATATATATATACTAAATTTAAAAATCCATAAAGTTTCAGATTCTTTTACAGTGTGGTCTGGAATCAAATGAATGTCTTCAGGTGCAACCCAACCACAGTAGCAGAAGCAACATCTATAGCATGAATATGGTGTGTTTAATGTCAGATTCAGTTTCATTTAGGAGCGTTTCAAAGCATAAAATGTCACATTCTGCTCATCACCTTCCTACACCTCCCTCCTCAAAGCAAAAATGCCAGAGCATGTGGTGTGATACATTTCGTTCTTGCAACAAGGTGGTGATAATCCAGTAAAGCAGAGGTCAGAGGTCAAACAGGAACACAAAGGGAGGACTGAGAGAAAGGCTCTGGATGTCCTGCACGCCTCACATAAACAAATGTCTGTCTAATCCAAATTACTGCAAGAGCGGAATCCAACAAAGAGCAGAGACGTGACTCATCACTGACCGTCAGACTGTCAGGGAGAGAAGATCAGTGGAAAGACAAACAGTCACATCCAGAGAACCAAAATACATCCATCCAATAGACCAGATTAACAAAGTTGCTAATGAAATGAAAACAGATTATCTCTGAGGTAAATCTGGATGTAAAACCTGAAAAAACAAATGAAGGAAAGCATTTTGCTCTCAGGGGCCGGCACGTTGGCAGACCGTCAAGTTTATTTAGCTATTTTGGTCGCCCTCAGCTGTCCCTTTTATGTTCTCCTGGGAATGTCTGCTGCCATCACCCTGCCAAGTAATCCCCTTATATTTAAGAGGGGGCATGAGGGGTAGACGGTGTGAGAGGGGGGCAAACAGGTGGGAAAGTGTTCATGGCTGAGACCAATCACCAAACACACACCTTGGTTGTGATGAGAAAGCAGGACCGCAGCCAAAGGTTAACGGCGCTTTCACTTGTCTGGCATGTTGTCGTTAATTTAAAGCTGACAGGAGGATCTCAGAGAAAACAAACAAAGAAAGAGAAGCGAGAACTGTACATCTACATCAAAGACGGCAACTGAGTTAGAAAAAAATGGCTTTAGTCTATGAAATAAGAGGCTCTAAGAGACATTTGAGCAACTTCTCCTGTTAATAAATATAACTGTGAAAAACAAGCTTGCAGTTTCATGATCACTACTACACAGTGGTGGAAAGTAACAGTAAAATCACTCAGGTGCTTTAATGACATTTTGCTCTTTTATTTCTTTTTTACATATAGAAGCAAAACATTGCAGTTTTTGCTACAATGCATATATTTAATGACAATTTGCTTTCTAATTAAGAATTTTATTTTACTAAGTAAATTAATAGACTACAATATGTTTGGCTTGTGACTTAACCTATGATTTGTTCTACTAAAGATATTACAACCTGATACAGTACTGTACGATACAATAAAATGGGACATTTGTCTAGTTTTGCACACATCTAGCTGCTTCTGTAGCAAATCACAACCCTAACTTATATATATATTGCACATATTATGCATATTTTATATATATATATACATAGGCACCCTACATTTTCATTTAAGAGGTAAAATTATCACTGCATCATTATTAATGATCTAATCAGGTTGTATGTTATGTAATATGTGAAGCAGAGGAAACTTATCTGCACAAATATATTCCTTTCAATGACGATGTACTTTTTGAAACTGTGCACATTACTTATTTTGAAGTATTTGCACGTTGTTATGCACTGTTCATTTCCTTCCCATCTCTGTATCCCATGACATGCAATGAATTGACATTCTATTTGGAGTGTATTCTAAATATATTTTTATGTTTTCAGTAATGTTGCATTTGCTGTGCAGTATGTTCTACACTGTACTTGTTTTATTGCCTTATATTTTTGTTGTGCTTCCCAATTTAACATAATGGTAATAATGACCAAAAAAAACCTTTCTAATGATGATTAATTGATGCTGAAGTTAATCTAAATTCATGAAAGTTATGTTTAAATTGTTACAGCTAATAAAGATGATATTATTGGACAACACATTTCAAAAAGTCACAAGTAAAATTGTAAATATTTAATTTGTTAATTTATTTTACACTTTAAATTCTTTATTTTCATTAATTAAAAAATCCTATGTTCAAATTCATCACAGTAGAGTAGAACTAAAGAGGCTAGAAGAAAAGAAAAAAGAAAAGCAGAAAATAGAAAAAAATAGAACAATAAATCCAGTAAGTATTTACACTAATGCATCATAGAAGACATATATATATATATATCCATCCATTATCTATACACCGCTTAATCCTCATTAGGGTCGCGGGGGTCTGGAGCCTATCCCAGCCGACTTAGGGCGAAGGCAGGGGACACCCTGGACAGGTCGCCAGTCTTATATATATATATATATATATATATACACACACACACACACACACACACACACACACATATATATATATGTATGTCAAGTCACTATTTTGTGTTTTCCACAGTTATTTTAAAGTAATGTATTACACAGACTCCCAAAAATGGCTCCATATTCTTTGTTGTGTAAAGAGATAGTTTAATTAAGTTGAGCAATGAGTCACACATGCTCATGCAGTCGCACATATCTGCTCCACCTAAGGAGCCCCTGTCATCATAACGTCTATGGGAAAATTCCAAATTTGATATTAGCATCATTACTTTGTCGCAACTTAAAAAAGGAAAGCAGAGCGCTGCACATACAGGGTAAAAGCTGCATCAGTTGCTGAGCGTATAGAATGCTTGTACCCCAATCTGCGATACCGTAATGGACATCACAAACCAAAAATAACGTCAGCAGTGGCCGCTGTGCCTCTCTGCAGGCAGATGGAGGTGGACAGGAGGGTGGAGAGACAGTGTCCAGCAGTCCAAAAAGCATCTATGTCCCGAATGTCCTTATTAGTCCAAGTGGGACTGCAAACTGGCTGCATGGTCCCTCAGCTATCAGGTTTACTTAATTCCAAGACTCCTAGGTCTATTTTTAATCTCCTGTAAGGTGATACACTGTTCCGCCACTCTGTCTCCTTTACTTTTGCCATCAGTTCATCCTTGACCATCCTCTCTCTCTCTCTGTCTCTCTCTCCCACCCTCTCTCTTTTTTATCCCCATCCAAACTTGAGGCTGTGGCTAAAGTTAGATTGGCCGGCGGAGGGGTATATAAGCCCCCGGGAATATACGTATAACGCGGCTTCACACGGTCTTCTCTTTCTTGATCATCCAAACCTCCACTCATACCGTCTCAAGATGGTGAGTACCACGGTTCCCCCATCTCCGCTCTGTGCTGGTGGAAATATCTACAGGGGAATCAAACCAACCTATTGGATTAACTCCACTTTTTGATGTATTTTTTTTGGTTTGCCTAAGCTTGAAATAGAATTTGCAGCAGATCAATTGACACTGGAAATTCTTGGTGGATACTTTCAGGATACCTGCAGTTCTGAGTGATGCAGATAAAAGGATGCTTGTCTGTTGTTACTGCTAAATTGTTATTATACATATATATATTGCATGCCAAAATCAAAGTTTTAAAGAGCTAAACGGAAGAAAATGTACTTAAGTTGTTGGATGCTGGAAGTTGGATCGTAATTTTTCAGAAATAATCAGAGTATTGCACTTGAATTTGTGAGATCTGTGATGGCAATTTTCCCAACCTGGGGGTGAAGACCTCACCAAGAAAGCATAAAACACATCAAAGGGGTTAAAACAAAATTATGATAAAAATTTGCTTGGTTGCTCAAAATTGTGTTTCATCAAAATTTGGCTTTTGATTAACGATTTACATTAAATAATAAAGACGAAAGACATTTTAGGGGAAAATTACTATTTTCTGGTGTATATATATGCAGGCACATGTTGCTTAATATAGTTAGAGATGCCCTGGCTGTGCAGCCCTCAGTAGCATCCCGGATTCATTTGGAGATGTCACACATGTGTTTGTCCTTCAGGCACCAAAGAAGGCCAAGAGGAGGCAGGCAGCAGGAGACAGCGGCTCCTCCAATGTGTTCTCCATGTTTGAGCAGAGCCAGATTCAGGAGTACAAAGAGGTGAGGTTGTCTGGTCACACACTGACACATCATCCCTACAGGCATCAGCTTTGTTGTAAACTCTATGAGCATCGTTCATCACTGAATGAGGGGAAGTCCCGGGAAGCACTGACGTCCGTGTTACCTCCAGTTAGTTGTCAGAGATATGTAGAGAGCCCCAGATTCGGAATCTGACCAAAATTAGAGTTTTGGTTTAGCGGCTCTCGGATCCATTTTCACAGCAGTTGTTATTTTGCATGCCTCCTCTTCTCCCCCTGACAATTTAATAAGAATGTCATTAGGAGGAGCTCTGAAATTTTGACACCATCTCAAGTGCTCCATATTTTGTTCACCCTTGACCTCCTGCTCAGCTGTCACTTAGACATCTCTTCAAGGCTCTGCCTGAAAGCTGCGAGGCCAAGCTGAACAACTGGACCACTGTATCATAATGTAGAAACAAAAGGGTTTTATTCCTTTTTGCACAGCTGATGTTTTTAAACCTCCATTTAAAATTACTGTTAAATGGGTTTGTAGAAGGAAACAGCAAAAAGCAAAAGGACTAGGTGTAAAAGACAGGGGCAAAAGCTGTGTGTTGGGGTTCAGTAAGGTCAGGGAGATGGGATTTTATAAGGGCATGCTGTCATGATACTGGATAATGATGGTGTCTGGGTTTTCATGGTGTTGTTAAGGGATATGTGCTGCGAATAGAGGAAACATTCCTGCCACGATAAATGATCAGGCTTCTTGAGTACCACTAAGGGAATGTACGACATGATGATTAGAGATGATCTTAGCACATTGCGCATATGGAAAGATAGCAGCCAGGGGGGATGTATTTGCGTCCAGCAGCGCAGGGAAGCTTATGAGTAGGTGGGCAATCAGAGAGGGTGACGAGAAAGGTCTGTGACGAAGTTCAAGTCCAAGTCCAAGAGGTTATCTTAAGTTTCATAGACATAGAGTAGATCAGACAGCTGCTCCCTAATGATACTTTCCTGAATTAACATGTAAGAAAAAACTTGGGGACACTTTAAGCACCCACCCACCAGCCCCGTCTCCCATCTTAACACCACTAGAGCCGGGTCTGACTTTCTGGGTGCAGCCTTTTTCCTGCACAATATCTTCTAACAATACTTGCCAGCTGCCACGTTAATGGACGAACTGTTGACAGAGGAGGCCGCGAAAGTGTGAAGGGGTCTCACCCCATATGTCCACACACACACTTCTGTCCCGAGTGCTTCCTTCCAGTAATATATCCTGACTCTGCTTTCCAGGCTTTCACAATCATTGACCAGAACAGAGATGGTATCATCAGCAAAGACGACCTTAGGGACGTGCTGGCCTCAATGGGTGAGTCCGGATGGAGCACATCTGCATTAGGAAAGCATGTGTGCATGTGTTTCACAGTGTCTGACAGAGTGTTTGTGCTGTTTTAGGCCAGCTGAACGTGAAGAATGAGGAGCTGGAGGCCATGATCAAGGAGGCCAGCGGCCCCATCAACTTCACCGTCTTCCTCACCATGTTCGGAGAGAAGCTGAAGGGTGGGCAGCACATTTTTCACTGAATAACTGTGATTTATACTATTTATATCAGCAGCACTTTATTGCAGCAATTCTAGGGTACTTCTACTTCAGTTAAATATTGCCATTGTACACTGCTTTATACTTCTACTCCACTGCAGTTCCTTTTTGCTCACGAGTTCATTGAACAGCTACTTTGTAGGTTGAGAGTCCCATACAAAATATATGAACAGCTTATAACATATGACGCATACTCAAACTATCCAATACCATGTGAGGAAAACACATTAGCTTCACCTCAACCAACCACAGCTTGCATCTTTTGATACCTTAAGTACATGTCATCGCTACTACAGTCTGTGTAACTCACCTCCTGTCCTCACCAGGTGCTGACCCCGAGGACGTTATTCTTAGCGCCTTCAAGGTCCTGGACCCCGAGGGTACTGGAAGCATCAAGAAGGAATTGTGAGGACTTTTAAAATGATTTCACCATCTCCCAATGCATGTCCAAAGCAGGATGGATGAACATTTTTAACTATCCAAATCTTTTGCTTTGTCTACTCCAGCCTTGAGGAGCTCCTGACCACTCAGTGCGACAGGTTCACCAAGGATGAGGTAAAGTTACGAACCAGTTTGAGGATTACTTCATGTTTTGGCAAACTGACCCACTAGTCTTGTTGTTGCATGCTAATATTTAACTCAGCTGTCTTTTTTTTTGTTTCCTTTCAGCTGAAATAAAACATATTTTACAAAAGAAAGTTAAAAAAAACAAAAAAAAAACAAGACGACACAATGCAATACAAGTGGGGGTCTTGACCTTTATGCCTAAATTATCCTCGGATTTATTCGGATCCAAAAATAATGGCGTCCTTATTGTTGACTGAAAACATGACATTTGTCCCAGTGTTTGGGGCAACTTTTTTTTTCAATGAGGGAATAATTTGACTAATGGATCAATATCTCAAAAACATGTTGTATTTCTTTTTGGAATTAATGATTATGCATAATTTACCCTTTAGACATGCATAGTTAATTTCCAATCCTGGTTTTCCCCCTTCAGATTAAGAACATGTGGGCCGCCTTCCCCCCAGATGTTGCTGGCAACGTAGACTACAAGAACATCTGCTACGTCATCACACACGGAGAGGAGAAGGAGGAGTAAAGAGAAAACTAGAAGACAAGAAAAGACAGCAATCCCTTTGCTATTCTGTCTTCCCCGTCTTTTTCGCTGCTCCTCTTCCTCCCCGCTCACCTTCTGTGTAAACCCATGTGCTCAGTCGCTCATGGTCAAACCAAAGACTTGTCACACTGACACATGAGATGGCTGCTGCCCATGGATGTCTATGTTTGCTTATGGGGAATAGGGATGATTTTCAATAAAATTATCCTGTAACATCATTTCCAACATTTCAAACATCCTCTTTTTCTTTGCAACTATTTTCTGTCTTCTCACCTCTCCATCTCTGTCAGCCCTGTCACTTCAGCCTCTGAAGTGTTCACATGAATGCAGCATGCCCTTCTTCACTTAGTATCTGAGAGAAAAGCAGGTTTACTCTTTGGAGAGGTGCACCAAACATGAGGACCTCATTCCAAATTTTGAAGATGTCCTCCTGGGTAGAAGAGGTGAGAGGAGGGAGAGCATTTGCAGGTTAGAGAGGAAAAAGTTGCTTCCTTAAAGTGATGACAACTTTCTTTTTCCTTGACAAGTGAAAACAAAAAGGGCTGAAGGAGAGGAGAGAAAGGGCCGAAAGAAAACATTCACATCTTCGATTACTTTCCCTCCACTCCTTCCTGCACCGAGTAAATCACCTTTTTTTCCATAAGCTGTCTTGAATCCAGTGACTGGACTTCTTGCTCACCTTTCCTCTGTAATGAATAAAAGGGACAAACTGTGAATAAAATCTCTTTCCTTTTGTACAATAGTGTGTCTGTTCAGTGGCTCTGTGGGGCAGGGTTTGAGGAAATGAACAGCATCTCTATACACATTTAGTGACATCTAGTGGAGCTTCTTTAAATCTCCATGTACAAACAGGAAAGCCCATACAGATCACAACCTACTGTATATTGCTGCAAAATTTTAGATAAAAGATCAAATAAAAGATCAAATCACTTCTCAGTGACAGCTGACTTTTTCTGATAAAAAATAAATGTTGGTTATTCAACATACAGAATGCGATTTCTGCCTTGCAGGCTCACCTCATTTCTCTATTTTGAGCTTCTTCGTCACCTTTGTCCTCTTGCCAGTACCCTGAAATCAATCTTAGAGAGTCATCTTTATGGACTTCTTCATTTCTAAAATAAATCCTGAGGAAAGTGGATGTTGGAGGGGGAGCTATGAGCGAGGATGCACAGATATGTCCTCAATGCATCCTTTACAAAAGTCTTTTCTGTACCAATGTTGAACAAAACAGGTGTCCTAGTAA